AGAAATTTGTATCCATCGAAGCCATACAACGGAACCCGACCAAAAATAAAAATTTTGCAACGAAATGTCGTGATATTGTATTTATAATATACGCAAAATCAGTACTGCCATTTTAGCGCTTTGGGAACTAGATTTAGCGCTTTTTTGGAATGTATAGCGCGCATTTCGAAATTTTAGCACCTAGCTTAATCCAGCGCTTTTTGGTGTATTTAGCACACATTTCAATATTTTAGTGACTAGCGGGTTATTAACTCTTTTATAGCAGCACTGTTAGTCTACATTACCGATAATAATAATAATGACCTTTATTATTTTTTCCCACAAATAGTACATTGCAGTTATATCTTTTTCAAACATATTTTTTCCACAAAACAAAGAGCATGGGAGACGAGTCCAAACTAGGATACCCTGTGCTATGGATCTCCTGGCTTCCCCTTTAGGATGATCAACTTGATTTTTTTACCGACGACTATAAGCGGGGAAATCCCCTTTATTAAAGTTTTCGTTCATGGTTTTGGCTAAGTTAAAAGTTACTTAGAAGTTATAACACAAAGAAACTGTGTAGCAACCGCAATCAGATGCTGACATCTGAAACTAAGTTGCGAAATACATTGCACTTTAAAACAATTAATGACATTTTTATTGTTCGTACAGTACTAACTACTGTTGACAGCAATTGCCATAATTATATGTCGATGTCCTGCGAAGTATTGATACACCAAAAAAATATTGCCAGAAAAAAAACTTAATGTTGTTTTCTTTATTATGATTATATAAAAAAACACAAACTTTGTTTGTAGTTAATTTAGCGCGAAATCTAGGGCTTTTTTAAAGCGCTGTTTTCATGAAATCTAGCGCTTTTTGTGTTGTTCTAGAGCTGAATGAGTGTTTTTTTATCTGGCAGCACTGCCCAAAAACCCTCTATTAAGAAGTAACTTTCCTTTCAGTTTTAAGCGCGTTCAGTTCCCAGTTACAGTAAGCGTGTGTTATGCGATGACCGTAAATAAAGCGCAAGGTCAAACTTTACGCGTTGTAGGAGTGTACCTCAGTACTGACTATTTTGCACATGGCCAACTCTATGTTGCTTTTTCCCGCGTTAGTAGCCCCCGTAACCTTTTTGTGTAGGTACACCCCGGCTAAGCCTACTTCTAACGTCGTTTGCACAGAAGCTCTATCATAAACGACTTAGAACTTTGATGATAATGATTTATTTAGTTACCACTTATTGTTACAGTAATGAAATAAATCGTTTAATATTCTCTTACCTAAACGACAAATTCTTTATGTAAAACCTGTATACGCGAGCTACGCCGCGGGCACAGCTAGTTTCAAATAAAAGTAGAAGCCTTATTTACTTATATTTTTTAAAAATTGCACTAACGGTATATAATTATTTATAGATTTGTACTTTTTATATTTTGCCAATTTGAGTGACTTCCCATAATAGAGTGAAACGTGTTTTCAATATAATTATCTAGAGGTCAGCTTGTTTTAAATAATCAATTCGCCTATTTTAATTTGAGAATATCACTGCTAGGAGTAATAGTTATCTGTCTGTTTGATACCATTACCATTAAAGACTATCAAAAGTACACTGTTACTGTCCAATGTTAACATAGGCCTCTTCCATTGTTGCATCATATCAAATATCCCATTTGTCAAAGTTGTTGTCACAGTTTTATTTATTTATAATCAGATGTTATCAGGAAGATTCTGCTGCTCATCTCCTGGTTCAGTTTTCCTCTGTCGCTTCTTACGGCACTCATAAGAAGATATGGGTTTATGGAGTAGTGGCACTGACCTCTATACAACATGTAACAAAAACCCTGTGGTACCTGTTAAGAACGTTATCAGGATCATTATTCAAAAGTATAAAAATAACTTTTTTTAAAAATTCGAACAATATTTTTTTTTCATTTTATTTAAAAAAATTATTGTATGCAAATTATATGTTGTTTTATTACCTCTGCATTTTCTGAGGAGTAAGAGGGCTGTCAAAGACCAGCTTTACTTAGCTTTAGCATCGGCTAGTGTCAGTAAGTGGTAATAAAACCATATAAAATAATTTTTTTAACAATAATTAAAAAAAATATGGTCGAGTTTTTAAAAAAAGTTATTTCTATAGAATCAGAAATATAAACAGAAGTACGCTGGACTGGCTATACCCTACAAAATCTTTCTGCCAATTTGATGCGCCGCCATTGTTCGTAACGGGAACTAAGATTGACATATTCAAACAGTGCTTCCACTTTTAGCGATTTCGCTCTAAAATGGGCGTTTGATAGTTAAGTTAAAAACTTAAAGTATGGCTTGGGGCTATTTTATATTTTAAGAGATTTAGGGTAATTTGCAGTTAAATGGAATAATAAAAAGAATATAAAGGTGGAAACACTATTTTAACATAGACTTCGACGTTCGTTTGTGGTCAGAGGTACACTGAAGTTCCTAACAAATTATTAATTAACAAATTAGTATTTATGTAAATGAGTTGGAAAATTCAGATTTCAAGAATTGGCTGAAACGATCAGATAAAAGTGAAACTAAAGCTTATTATAAGTGTGATTGTGGTATGTATGAATTATTGGGACATCAAAAAACGCAAGGAAATTTGAATTTCGCGGGCCACCCTGGAGATTCCACCTTAAGAGGCCGATCCTTAAGAAATACGCAAATAGGCAGTTACGATTTTAAAAATATTAAAGAACTGACTTCTTTAAAAGACACCTTAAAAAAATCTCAATTAGTTAATAGACGAATCTTCACTTTCATCGCGTGATATTTATAAAAAAAGTCAAGATTTTCGAGAAAAAAAATCGTCAATAGTGGTAAATTCACTTAAAACTGCCTTTTCTATTTTAAATCTCTAGGTTATTTAGTTACTATGTTAGAAAATATTTTTGAATAAAACGTGACATACATTCACCATTCTTTTTTTACTAATTCAAACTAAAAAGCAATAATCTAAGCCTAAATATCATTTATTTTTTCGTTTTACGTTTTCCGTATATTTTAGTATGAAGCAGTTTAGCTTTCCGTAATTCGCTTTATATTAGAGAACACGCGTGAAAAAAATTCAGTGCCGCTTCAATTTTCGAGATGACTGCATGTCCGTTCTTAGCCTGATTTGACGAGTCGAGTCGATATACATATCTATTTTTTGACATTGCATAAGGGTGGGTCGCGAGTGTCTGACACGACTGCTAAAATTATTTGTATTCTTCGAGTAAGTAGACTAACTAGATATGTGAGTTTTATTATGTATTGTTTTTTGTAATTATCAGACATTAATGTACTTAATAAAGTAGTAATTTATTTTAATATCAATTTCAGGTAGATAATATGGGAAAACGCAAAGAAAGTTATAAGAAAAAATTTATGATATATTCATTACTATGTCTACATAGAAATGAATATATCATTTGTTGTTGTCATATAATATATTCATTACTATGTCTACTTGATGACTACGAGGATTTTTTTATAGGATAGGGTGACAAACGAAAACACAGTCCACCTGATGGTAAGTGGTTACTGTGACCCAGAGATATCTACATCTATACTCCAAAATGCAGATCCGTTGTCACCCGTGAGGACTAAGATGGAATGCCTTTTTTTCAGTAAAAAAGGTTTCCGGTCCTCTACACTCACCATACGAAACACAGCAGTGTTAAGCTGCTATTTTACGCTGGTATTCTGTGAGAGCGTGGTCCTTCCCCGGTCGAGCCGACCACGCAGCATGGTTCTACCACGTCTAAAATTCCTATGTTCAATACGTCTGCCTTGTACTTCTATGCACCTGCGACACCGGATTAACTATAAAGTTTAAACGCACGCGTTGCAGAACAGACATTTCAAACGTTTTTTTTTGCAAAGGCTGCGACTATTCCCATACGCATTTTCGCCTCGATATGATGTTTTCTTTTGGAATACGGACTGACAGCTTAATCGTACCACAGATATAAAAGTTGCGAGAACAGGAGATGCGCCGGCCAGTTGACCGGTCCACCACGGCAAATCCATCTTTCACCGAATTTTCCAAGACATTCCTTAAATTTAATATTAAATTATAAAATTATGTTAACTCCAACAATATTTTAAGTACATTTCAATCTGGATTCAGACCCGGTCACAGTACAACAACTGCCCTTCTTCAGGTAACTGATGATATCCGTCGAGCCATAGATAAAAAACAATTAACAGTACTGGTTTTATTAGATTTTCGTAGTGCCTTCAATTCTGTTGACTTTGATATACTCCTTAAAACTCTTCAGGTTATCAATGTTTCATCTTCGGCCATTCTTTGGTTTGATTCTTCGGGGACGCTCGCAATGTATCTGCTCCAATGACACTTATTCCAACTGGTGTAATCTTATTGCAGGTGTACCCCAAGGTGGCGTCTTGTTTCCTTTACTCTTCACCGTTTTATTAATTCTATAACGAAAATGATATCCTCCAACTCTGAGCCATGCAGCAGCTATACGCTGCAGCATTTTTTCAATTTTGTTTCAAATACTTTTTTTTGGGGTTTTATTTTGGGAATTGATGATCAATGATACTGCTTTCAACTCACACCTCCTTATAAAAAAGGTTGAAACATTTGTTACCCTATAGAAACATTAATTATGAATATGACATTATTATTGGAAGGTCTCTCGAAAACTTAAAGAAATATAGGTGGTAGATATATTAACTTTTCAAAGTAGGATTGGTAAGAAATTACCAACTTCTGAAATCTACCTCCGAGACAAACTTTGTTTTGGTAACATTGGTCGATGTTCGGTAGAATCTACTAGTTAGTCTGTGGTCGATACTCCGTAGGAGTAATAGTGTTCTGTGTCGATGGTACAGAAACGTCATTTGTCAATCGTCAAGTAGTCGAGCAAAATAAACTAATTTTATTTACTGTGAATGTGAAATACTGTGTGGTAATTTACACAACTTGTAAATATCGTATTAAATTTATTTATTTCTGTGAATTTATAAAATCAACTGTTTCAATAATGACCTGCGAAATATATTTTGACAACCATCTTCTTTTGGAATCTGAATTGTTAAATGCATCCGATTTACGTTGCAAAATTTCACAAAGCTTCGGTGTTCCAGTGGAAGATTTATTCGTTACTGTTAATGGAAGACGTCTTTCTAATGAACTCATTTTGCTAAAAGAAAATAATGTTGTTAGAGTTCATACGAGACTTGTTGGTGGTAAAGGTGGATTTGGATCTATGCTCCGTGCAATAGGAGCACAAATCGAAAAAACCACTAACCGTGAAGCATGCCGTGACCTGTCTGGACGACGATTGCGAGACATTAATGAAGAGAAGCGTCTCAGAAAGTGGTTAGAGGGACAGGATGATCGTGAAAGGGAAGTTGCGGAACGAAAACAAAAGAAACTGGAAAGGTTACTGGCTGAACCAAAAATCGAGGTCAATCTTAATCCAGATTACGAGAAAGTTCGTCAGGAGTTGCCTGAGCGTGTTAGTGCAGCAGTTGACGCTGGTTGGGAAGCTGCAGGTACATCTAAAGAACATGGAACTAAACGGAAAGCAGAGGAAAATAAATCAAAAGGAAAGAAGAAGGTTAAGTTGTGGATAGACGCAGAATTGTCAGACTGTTCATCATTAAGTGATGATGATGAGGAAGAAACCAAAATGAGCCCTGGACAATCTGCTTCCACAGACAGTGGTAATGAGTCAGATAAGGCATCAGAAGCCAGTAGCAAAGTCTAGTAGTATTTTTAACTGGATTGTATGTAATCACTTTAATTTTGTAAATAAAATTTTGCATTTTTTAAGAGTAATCCATTTAAGTATAACAACAAATAATTATGTTAACTTGATTGTCACTATTTTACTACTTAATACAAAAATATTATTGTAACTACAGGTTAATTGAAATATGTATGATACTAGTTGACCAAGCCAGGTAGAGTAATGACAAACTTGACCACTTGTTGTGTGGATATCGATAGCACAATATTCAATGTTCACACTGTTACAGTGTATTAAAGTCCACTTCTGAATATAGGCCTCCCCCATAGATTGCCTCATAGGGGGGATATTTGCTATAGTTGCCACGCTTGGCAACCGTAGTTATATATTTTAAGTTTTTATTAGGAAGTTGCTGTAACCCATCTGATTTGTTTCCCTCCATTGCCCCTTATGACTTCCATGGGATGTTATAGGGTAGTGGATGTTCTTCCACTGCCACTACACTTATTTAATACCCACATAATAAAATTTTTGCCTACTAACAATAATTTAAGCTTCTCCAATTTATACATGGTATAATGATTGTTTTCTTAACAACTAGTGTACCTGCCCTGGTTTCGCCTGGATAGGATTTGTTAATGTAGCATTGTTTAGATTTAAGAAGGTTAAAGGCCATTTAGATTATCAATTTGTGGTTTTAAAAAAAGTAAGTATCAAGTATCAATATTTTTTCAAGTTTTCCTCACTATGTTTTTCTGTAGTGCCGAGCATGCGACAAATCAGCACTTAAAATTGCAATTAACAATTTTATTGGTGCCGGTGATCAGATCGAACCTGGGTTGCTTGCATACTGTGAAATTTACTGTGAGAGCTTAGCCCCTAAGCTACCATGGCTCTTCATTACAGCCCTTCACAAGTCCACTGCTGAACATATGCCTCCCCCAAGGAATGCCACAAAGCACGGTCCTGAGCCACCTGCATCCATCGACTTCCTGCATATCTTACCAGGTCGTCACTCCATCTAGTGGCGGGACGCCCAACACTTCGTCCGCCGCTCGAGAACCTTTTTTCCCCATTGGCTGTCGGTTCTTCGAGCTATATGGCCTGCCCATTGCCACTTCAGCTTACTAATCCATTGGGCTATGTCGGTCACTCTGGTTCTGCTGTGGATATCCTCCTTTCTAAGTTTATCACGCAGAGAAACTCTGAGCATAGCCCTCTCCATAGCTCGCTGAGCGACCTTGAGCTTCCTCATCCGGCCAGCAGTGAAGTACACTGGTTGGACAGTCTTGTTTTCAAGTTTTGAGGTATACCTGAGGAGAAGATGTGCCGTAATTTCCCGAACGCTGCCCAACCGAGTTGAATCCGTCGATTGACCTCTCTGTCGAAGTTGGACTTACCTAGTCGGACTATTTGTCCCAGGTAAACATACTCGTGAACAACTTTGAGCTTAGTGCTCCCAACAACTAACGGCATAGGTGTGACATGGACAATAAACATGATCTTTGTTTTGTCCATGTTCATCGTAAGACCTATCCGTTGGGAAACATTATTGAGGTCATTGAGCATAGTGCTTAGGTCCTCCAGTGATTCTGCCATAAGGACTATATCGTGGGCAAATCAAAGGTGAGTGATGTACTCACCATTGATGTTAATACCGTATCCTTTCCAGTCCAGAAGCTTGAAAGACAGTTAACTTTGCACTGCTGAAGGGACTGCAGCACCGCCCAAATTTCGACGGAATCAAAGGCTTTCTCATAGACCACATACGCCAGACATAGTGGCAGATTGAACTCTTCTGACTTCTGTACAATTTGCTGAAGGAGAATAAGCCTTTTCGGTAACCGGCTTGTTCGGGAGGCTGGAAGTCGTCAAGTCTGCACGCGAGACGATTCGTAATGACTCTCGAAAACAGCACGTAGACGCGGCTAAGAAGGGAAATCGGTCTGTAGTTCTTCAAGAGAGAGTTGTCACCTTTCTTGAAGAACAAGACGACCGCACTTCTGCTCCACGCCTCCGGTGTAGTGCCGGTGGTTTTCCACTCGCTTTCAGAAGCTCCACTGTAATTCCATCCTCGCCTGCGGCCTTGCCGTTTTTAAGGTGCTGGAGAGCCATTCTAATCTCGCTCAGACTGACGTCCGGGATATCATCGGAATAGTGTCGGATAAGACTCGCTCTTGGATCGTTACTCACACTTACGTGTGGCTTCAACGATGATGTGTACAGCTGCCCATAGAACCTCACAATCTCACTCAAAATCTCAGGTGTCCCGGAAACGACGCTGCCACACTCGGTCTTCAGCTTCGACAGTTGGCTTCTGGCAGACAGATCTCTAGCAAAGACTGGAGCCCCCCCCCCCGTAGTAGTGGCGGGTAAGAATACTCACTACCCCATATCTTCCCGTGGGTGTCGTAAAAGGCGACAGAGGGAACCTGAGACTGAAAATGGGCAGCAGCATCTTTCTGATAACAATACTGCTCGTATTAAAAAAGCGATCGAGCGGAACCATGGTTCTTATTTAACTTTATTTATTTGTATATTGTTTATATTTATTATATAGTAGTAGGGAGGCCGCATTCCAGCCGTTCTAGTTTGTTTGGTTCACTAGTAGTTTTGGCAATAGGATAGTATCATTTTGTCAGGATGTTAGTTTAAATTTTTTAATTATTGTTTTATTTATTCCAGTATAATGTATAATTACATGTAATATTATTTAAAAAATCCTTGTATACCTACCATTTAATATGAATATTCAAAACTTAGATTAATAAAATAGATTAGGTGCAACTGTCTTTTAATATATTCTTTACTCTCCCCTCATAGTTAGCATAGATCCTTTTTATATTCTAGTAGCAACAAAGGGATAAAATAAAAGTTAATGTCTTCAAGACAAGAGAATAGCTCCTTGTTATGTTAAGACCTTGTTATGTGATTTACCATGTATAAGGCATCAAGAGGCAAGAAAAAGTTTGTTTTTGTGTTTTGTATTAGACGCTTTGCATTCTTAATGAGACTAAATATGCAACTTCAGATATCTACACTTAGGTGACTTGGCGAGGAGGCTAATAGAAGTGAATTGGTGGTGGCACCATAAGCATCTGTAGCTTCATCACCACTGTGGGATTGTACACAAGAACTGGCTTAATAAGTTAAAAAATCTTTATGTTTGTGTACTCCCAGAGTGGTAAACAGCTTGATGGGATTTTTAGGTTTAGTGTTATTACATTTATCTTTATCTCCAGAATATCATTGACTTAATTTTATAAGGATATTAGTTATAAATTCCTTATAAAATTAATATAAAAAGCCACATTATAACAATGTGGTGTTTGGTTGAAGGGCAATCTAATGAGCTTGTTATTTTTGGCAGACTTCTAAAAAGGCTGCCTCCTTTTAAAAATAAATTCTGAATGAGGGTTTTCATAATTTTCTGCCACTAGAGCCACACCACTATGGAATGAGGTGAAATATTTGACATAAATTGTTAGAAAAGTGTAAATATTAATGTGGTAGAGTCATGCTGCAGCTGTATTAGTATAGTTGTAGCACGAATGGGTCGACTCGACCGGGGAAGCACCACACTCTCACAGAATACCAGTGTAAAATAGCAGCCTAATGCTGCTGTGTATCATATAGTGAGACCCTTTTTACTGGAAAAGAGGCATTCCATCTTAGTCCACACTGGTGACAACGCATCTGCATTTTGGTTCTTTATAGATGTAGATGTATATGGTTCACAGCAACCACTTACCATCAGATGGACCAAAGATGGACTGTGTGCTCGTTTGTCACCCTATCCTATAAAAGAAAAAGATTAATATTTCTTTCTGAAACATTCGTGATATTTAACATAAATAGATAAGAAATTGATAAATCATATAATATTCCTAAAAGTGAAAGAATAAAAAGGTAGTTAAAAATGTGTAAAGATTGAGTCCAATTAGTGGCATCTGGTGAGTGAAACTATATTAGCCCCCATTTGATTGTATTATTTTGTTGTCTTCGTGATATCTTCACTATTTGTAAACCGATTTGAATACTTTTTTTATTATATCGTTTTTAACTCAAGGGTTTTTTTTCAATTTTTAATTTAAAAAAAAAATTGACAATTAATGAATATAGCCTCGTTTGTCAATCAGCAGCGAGTAAAGCGTGCAGATGAAATGAAGACTAACTCTCACCAGATGTCGTCAGTTGCGACTGAGGTGAAGTTATTTGTTACACAGTGTCAGTCATTCAAATAAAAGTTTTTCGGTTTAAACCTATACACAAAAAGTGCCTCAGTGGTTGCTTTTGCACATTATTAACTCTCATTTTTTTCATTACTTATATGGATATCCGTAGTATGGTTTATTCATTTCAATCTAATTAATATGAAACTAATATTTCAGAAAGAAATATTAAAGTTCAATAATCAACTAACAATTTAATTTACCCTCCATGAAACCTGTCAAGTATTTCACCTCACTCCAAAGTGGCGCCGCCCTGCTGGCAGAAAAAGTTGTGGATCATTGGCATGTTCAGCGTAGTCCTCCTTACTTCCGTTGCCTCGATAAAATCTGTAATATTGGCATTCCATATATCATGAAGTATAGAGTAGAAGGAGAACCATCTCATATGGGGGGAAAGTTGAAAATGTGTACAACTGTATACTGAAAATGGAGGTTTCAAAACCTACCACAATAGCGCTGGCGTCTGAAAAACTACGATATGAATATAGCTGTTATAGACCGAGGGAAGTCAGCTAAATTCAAATATTTTAAAAATTTCATGACTAGAGTAATTAGTAAAATGCCAATATACAAAACCTCAACTATTTACGTAGTACAAAAGTTGTTTATTTCTCCATACTTACTTACTTACTTATCTTCACGCACAATCCCTGACGGGGTAGCCATATATCTTTATTTCTCCATCTTATTCTAATTACTTTTGGCGCTCTTTTTTTTAAATTTATCCTATGTTACCGCAGCGCCCCCTTATTGGACGCGTTTTTACGGACACTTATTCTTATAATGAGATGGTCTTCCTTGCCGTATAAAATAAAACCACAGATTAGATATCTCTATATATTTTTATCTTTTTGTAGATAGATGATTTAGCGCCATCTGTTGAAAACTACTGAAACCAACTATTTTGAAGACAAATGGTACGAAAGAAAGATGTTCCGACTTGTATATATAGAGGTCAGTGTGTTCCAAGAATGAATGTTGATACAAATACAGTGCTTCCAACAGACGGCGCAATAACCAAACAAAGTAGCGTAAAGACTGCTTATTAAAAACCAATATTATTTTATTGGTGCTAAAACACCACAAACTTTCATCACAGGTTTATCATTGACGACTCGGTAGCACTGTGACCGAATGTTTGATACCTGGCAGCGCTGTGTTGCCGCGGGTCCGAATTCCGCACGGAACAAATATTTGTATAGCCATTTTTACTAAGGTACTATTAATAATTGTTCCTGGTCCGGATGTTTGTAGAAACCTTTATTTTGAAGCTACGTAGATAACTTACTAAAACAAAATTGATTTCCTGTGGAAATAATGGTGACAAAAGAGCACACAGTCCACCTGATGGTACGTGGATTCTATGGCCCATAGACATCTACATCTATCCTCGATTAAAAATCAAAATGCAGATGCGCCATTACCTTCGAGGACTAAGATGGAATGCCTCGTTTTCAGTAAAAGGGTTTCCGGTTCTCAACATTCACCGTACGAAACACATCAGAATTCAGTTGCTATTTCACGTTGGTTTTCTGTGAGATCGTGGTCCTTCGACGAACGATCCGACTCATTCGTGCTACAACCATAATATAGTTGCAGCGTGGCTCTGCCAGGTATAAAACTACAAAACTGTATTTACTGCTTAATGTACTTGACCAAATTGGTGATACATTGAAGATGGGCCAAATTAAGAGTACACGAGCATGTACGAGGGCGATACAAAGTTTTTAGGACTGGCCTCTTGTAAACGATATAATAAAAAAATAAGTTCAAATTTTGAAAATGGAAATCTTTGCCAATATTACTGTGTATTCTATTAATTTGTCATTTGTTTACGATTTGGCGGCAAATTGAAAATTGTCTGTGTTGAAAATTTTCGTACAATGATTTTTTATGACTTTCGATGTCATTTAAGTCAACAAGAAAGTTATGATAGACTTCGATTGGCCTTTCACGATGAAGGCCCATCTTGTGCCACTATTTACAACTGGTTTAATGAGTTTAAACGTGGTCGCACTAATCTCACCGATGATCTGCGTGAGGGACGGCCTTCTACAGCGACGACTGAAGATAACATCAGTGTTGTGCAGCGTATGATATAGACTGACAAAAGAGTGACTTATCAGCAGATTCGGACAAGCTTAGGCATCGGTATGAGTCAAGTGCACATGAACTTCCATGAACATTTAGCGGTCACTCCAAAACTCCGTCGTGTTGATTGGTGTTGTGAAATGGTTCAAAGATTTAACGGAGGTGACTCAAATGCTGTGTTCGACATACATACGGGTGACGAAAGCTGGATTTATTGTTATGATCCTGAAACTAAGAGACAGTCTGCTGTCTGGGTGTTTCCTTCCGAGTAGTTGCCAACTAAAGTGAAGAGAGGTCGAAGCGTGGGAAAAAAGATGGTGGCCCCGTGCTTGGGAAGACAGGTCATTACGCAACAATTGTTTTATAGGATCGAAAAACAGTTACTGCAGAGTGGTATACTAACAATTGATTGCTACTTGTCTTGGAAAAAGTTCGGGAGAAACGACCTCGCAGTATTAGCCTCCTTCACAACGACATCGCCTCGTCGCACACCGCCAAGCAAACAATCGACGACTTGGCAACGTCAGACGTGGAATTACCGGGTCACCCACCCTAAAGCCCCGATCTGGCACTTTGCGATTTTCATTTTTTTCCGAAAATAAAAGAAACATTCGAGGAAAACGTTTTATGGACACCGAGGAAGCAGTGGCTGCGTTTCTGCGTCGAAGAGACCCCTAAGAACGTGTGGACAAAGTGCTTTTTTTCAGTGGTTCAATCGGATGCAGACACTATTTTGAAAAGATATAATAAAACTAATAACTTGCTAGTTTGTGCAGTTTTTGATTTTCTAAGAACTTTCAATGTCACCCTCGTATGTATACATAGGTATATGTTGTGTGTACATAGGTATATGTATAGATATATGTAAGTAAACGCTACTCCATCTATTTCTATTTTCGAGATGTTGGCGATGTTAACCTATGCGGCTGTTACAGCTATATCTGACAGGCATATCAGGCCGCGAGCTATTTAAAACAGGGAAAGGCGGCAAATGAGGATGGGGATGAGGATGATGATAGTTTATGATTTCGTATTGTTACCAATCATCATGTCCCCTCTGTTGAGATTTATTGAGCAATCTTACCGCTGTCCGAGTGGGGGTGTGCGTACCCCCGCCTTTGACTGCTCAGCTCGTGTTGGTCGACGTTCTCGGCGGTGAGAACCGCCCAGGTACGCGGGTGTACGGTATGAACGCGGTGTGTGCTGGCGTCTCATCCGTTATCCTATTTGTGCTTGTCCCATTTAGTGTGAGTGTAGGGTCAGTGTATGGTGTGTCTGCGACGTTTGGATCGACGGGATCAAGCGAGCGTGATTGTTCTATTAGTACGTTACGCGGTCTACGGAGAGTCAGCGCGACGTTTGGTATCGGGACGTAGTTGGCTGAGTTTGCCACTAGCGGGTTCGGATGGGTTTCTGCGCTATCAAAGTAGCGCTGAGACATCTCCTTGAAGTATTCGTAGATTGAGGGATATTGACAATCACTGTGTATATCTGAAGTTCGTTGATAACACCGTACTCCGGTGGCTCTACGGTGAAAAAGTTTTGGACTTTCTGTAGTACGTTTAGGTGGGACTTATACGTGTGGGCGAAGGCTACACTTGCGTAAGACTTGATAGGTCTAACGCAGGTTTTGTAAAGGTGGAGTTTGTGTCTTAGAGACATTTTACTCTTCCTGTTAACAAGAGGGTGAAGACGGTCAATGACAGACCTGGCTCTGTTCTGTACTACGCTTACGTGATTCGCGAAACTTATGCGGACGTCGATATTTGGCCGAATCTTCCCAAGGGATGGAGTGGCCGTATAAAGAAATTACCTCTATTCTGGTTTTTGGTTCACAATTCTTTGAGCGAGGCCACTCCGTAGTAATCCGTAGATTACTATAATCATGTTTATCGCCACATCACTTTTGCGCGCCAGAGTGCATACAGGCTGAGACTTCCCGCGTTTAGATTTAATCAATGTACATGTTTTAACGTTATTGTAGAATAATTGGAGCGGAGTGGAGGCTCTTATACTTGTTTGCCAATTGTTTTAAATACGTTGGTTAGAGAAGTGTGACCCTCTTTATACTGGACTTTATCGTTTTTTCCCACAACACCGAGCACGCGGCGTATCTGTAGTCAAAACTGAAATATTAAGTTCTGATTTTTTTTATTAAAAAAAAAATTAATCCCCACACTAGGATTTTCTTTTATATCGTAGAGGCAGCTTACATACATAAATTGCACAAGGACTAACATCCAGACCCTGGACTATTAACTTGTGGGATATATAAATAACTCGTTTCGAACCTGCGCCCCTCAGTGCCGCAACTCAATGCTAAACCACTCCGCCAAGGAGAATTTATTGTTGATTTGTGCGGAATAAGTATTTATTAATTATTAATTATTTATTTTATAGAATAAGTGACATATAAGCACCACCTGATGGTAAGTAGATGCTAGGGCTCATAGACATCTGCATCTGACTTCGATTCAGACTCAAAATGCAGATGCGTTTCCAGTAAAAAGGGTCGTCGTTTCTCTACACTCACCATACGAAACAAAGCAGCGTTAAGCTGCTATTTTACGCTGGTATTCTGTGAAAACGTAGTCCTACCCCGGTCGAGTCAGCCTATTCGTGCAAAAACGGTTTTGTAGCTTTACTACGTATAAATATTATAGGAAATTATTATATTTGTTTATTTTTAATTACAGATCAAGACTTGGAACTTGCTATTTTTGCTGTCACTACTAGCACTGGTGATGGCGAGACCGCAGGAGTTTGAGGACGAAGAGCATGACGACGGCCATTCGATCGACAATCGGAGAGGTATGCTTTTATATTTTTCGTGATTACAACACTGGCAAAATAAATTATTCTGGTAATTTATACCTAATATAGAACATGTTACAAAAACACTATGGTTCCCGAGAAGTGCGTTATCAGAATCAGTATTCATACATATAGAAATAACTTTAATTCAGAAAACTATACGTGGTAGAGCCATACTGCAGCTATGTTAGTAGTATAGTTGTATTACGAATGGGTCGGCTTGACCGGGGAAGGACTATGCTCTCACAGAATACCAGCGTAAAATAGCGGCTTAACACAGCTGTGTTTGGTATGTTGAGTGTAGAGAACCGGAGACCCTTTTTACTGGAAACAGGCGGTCCATCTTAATCGTCACGGGTGACAACGCATCTGCATTTTGATTCATAGTCGAGGATAGATGTAGATGCCTATGGGCCAATCACTTTCCATCAGGTGGAATGTGTGCTCGTTTGTTACCCTTATCTTATAAAATAAAAACTGACGTATTCAGACTGTTTTTTTTTAATTAGCTTTAGAATTACATCAACTGGTTCCGTATTAATTTTATATCAATAGCCTAGTACGCGTAGTTTGTTAATAAAATGATATTCAACTTTTATAAGTTTTATTGTTATCAAAAATTTAAAGGGGCTTTCATATTTTTTTAGCCTTCGATAGACAAAGGACAAATATACCATACAGCCTATATCGATTTTGTACTTTTTATCGATTTTTTTTGGTAAACATTTTTTTTTCACTGCAGGTGACACTACCTGTTAAAATAATAAAGCGCTAAACTTAAAACACTTAAATAATATATATTTAAAAGTTAGGAATAGAATTTATTTTCTGCATCAAAATTAAACGAAACGCTCATGACCTCGTGAGGTAATATAATATAAATCGCACTGTCTTAGCGCAGCAGAAGCCTGTTTACTCTTATCTTGAAGACACTCAAATTGTAATCGGACGGATAGACAGACTCCGGCTAATTAATCCATTCCCTTGCTGTACCTACGCATTACTAAAGACAAAGCAAACCGTTTAGATCGTAGTGTAACGTCGGAACCAAGAGGTGAAGATCCGCCGAGCGTTTGTGCGCGATGGAAAGGGTGAAGGTAGAATTAAGTCATTATTACATATTGATCTACAAGAAAATAAGGTTATGAGTTATACTTGTTCACTTTTGCCAGGTTTGTATTTCTTCTTTTAACACTTGCTTCAGTATAGTTAGGTATTAGTAGGTAAACACGAATCTGTACACGTGTCAAAATGTGCGTGAGACCAAAAATGGCGACACGCTTGCAACTGATCGCTCCATCAGACACGCACATTATCGCAATATGCCCGCTCTACTTCGTCAATTGCAATATTTTTTTTTTAATTTTTATAATATGGAAGTTGATTATGTATCTACCTACAACTACTTTAATGATTACAAGAAAAAGAAAATATAAAATAAATAAATATTTTCATTTTATCAATTATTATCTGACTACAATAAAACCTCTTTTAAGTATTCGGTATTCGGCCGAATAGTACCTAGATATTCGGTCGAATAGGATAAAAGTAGTCAAATAGGTCGAATACCGAATAATAGCCGTATATTCGCTGCAAGTCTACTTTAGACTCATAATGTCCATAGTTTTGACAAGTATCTCTTTTATTGTAAAGAAGATTTCCCTTAATGATCACGCTTGGCAGGTGAATTGACCATCGCAGTACCAGAAGTTTTGCAATTTGACGCTGTTTGCGTGAAATTTGCGCCTGATAAAACCTGGTTTCTGTTACGCTACCACGACACGTTTTTTTATAGGATAGGGTGACAAACGACCACACAGTCCACCTGATGGTAAGTGGTAGCTGTGGCCCATAGACATCTACATTTATACTCAATAAAGAATTAAAATGCAGATGCGTCGTCACCCGTGAGGACTAAGATGGAATGCCTCTTTTCCAGTAAAATGGGTCTCCGGTTCTCTACACTCACCATACGAAACACTGCAGTGTTAGTTAGTGTTAAGCTGCTATTTTACGCTGGTATTCTGTGAGAGCGTGGTCCTTTCCCGGTAGAACCGACCTTTTCATGCTACAATTATACTACTAATATAGCTTCAGCATGGCTCTACCACGTATTTGCATCTTCCTGGTAACAGCTCAGAATAATGAAAAACTGCGATAGCCAATGATATTATCTATACTTAGATATAAATATTTTCGTAATCGAGCCTAAGGGTTAATCTATGGGTGAGGTCTATATTTGGCAGTGGACTTTTGATAGGCCTTAATGGTGATGAATGGTTTTTAAAAACTTAATTACTTCAACTAGAAGATGTTTTATCTAATTTTTTTTTCAGGTGACGTGTCCCGTGTGCAAATAAAAGTTTACCGAGGTCCCACAAAACATGACGGTTACGCGCCGTGGGGTTTCTGGGTCAAGCAGCCGTCTGACGACCAATAGATTATAGATTAAATAAGTTAATTGGAAAATATAATATATATTATATTGTTTTCTTAAAATTGTAGTAGTCTGTAAAGTTGTAATCATATTTTAGTGTACGCTTGAACGTAGAGATGGCGCTTTTATAAATAAAACCAAAGACTATTTTTGTATTGCTGTATTATTTTTGCACTGTCGTTTTTTTTTATGTAAATCTTTGTTTCTATTAGCTTGGATACATACTATTGCCACATTTTTTTAAGTCGAAGTGACAAACACGCTTACAGTCCACCTGATGGTAAGTGGTTTCTGCAGCCCATGTAGCCGTAACTAATTTCAAACAAAGACGGATACAGATGCGATGGCACCTCTGAGAACTGAGATGGAATGCATCACAGTCTGTTATTATACTGGCTCTATATCAATAGACTTACGGGTGTATTCATAATCATTTTTAAACAGTTCATTAGTTAAAAAGTGTTTTGTCTCATTCTGACATTTGCGAGATACTTGTTGCTAGAGAGTGACAAAACACTTTTTAACTAATGAACTGTTTAAAAATGATTATGAATACACCCGTTAGAATATACTCCAATATATTTTATGCTCTATAGTATACCATTCAGAACAGAAAGCAGCAGTTTGTCGGTAGAAATAGAGCTTAAGGCTACCGATAGATGGCAGTTTAACCAATTCGTTTGAGCTAGACGTACAATTACTTGATCGGCGACGGAAAGCAGTGTCAAATGTGCGAAACGTTTTGTAGTTTGTATCGCAATTATCTATTCGCCTAACCGTTGCAGCGCTCCAATGATATATTAATTTCCGTTACTTGAACTTCTCTAGCCGTGTAGTGGCGGTTAATAATAACCTTTACTCCATATCTTCCTGTAGGTGTCGTAAGTGGCGGCAGTGGGAAACCAGCAGGAGATGGGCAAGAGCATGTTTCTGATAACAGCGGCAGTAAAATAAAAAAACATGCGTGAGTGTAGTGGAACACTCGGTTGGAACGAAGTTCCTTTCGTAGTATAATATTATTGATAAACGTATTATATTATTAATTAACAAATACAAATAAATGAATTACTAGCGTCTATTAAAATACAGCGTCATTTAAAATAAAATAATATTAATTTCCACATCTTGCCATATAAGAAAAAGTGCGAGGGAGATGGATATTATTCCATCTCGTTTCCTTATAGCCGCCAAGGCCGTCTACACTACGTCGGAAGGGGTCGTGATGGAGAATTACACTTTTTCTCGCCTAGCCCCCATCCGCCAAATTCGTACCGTCCGATAAGGAACTTCGTTCCAAAAACAGCAGTTGCCAACCCGCTCATCAAGCGTGGCAACTATTGCAAACAGTTGAACCAGTAGTAATGACACAAATAAACGGCCTCCCATTCCCGGCGGCCCCGCTATTCCTGGCTACGGTGGCGACCATGGTAACGGCGGGACAAGATGTGCTAAGAATCTCCAGTGGAGGTCTGGTTGCCACCTAAGACGACTCGACACCTACCAACATTTTACAGCGGCGCTATAGAAATTAGACCTGGCCCAGTCCCGACGGTCCCACAAAAAATTAGATTGACTTCATTATGACGACTAGACGGCAACTGTTCAGTGATGTCCAGTGATTACGACGGTGAAAACTGGTAGCGATCACCGAATGGTCAGAGGCACACTGAACCTAAACGTTAAGTTGGAGAGGTCTCGTCTACTGAAGTCAACGCTCCGTCCCCCTCGTGCTCTAATCCACAGTACCGAAACCTTTCAGCTCGAGTTACAAAATCGTTTTCAGTGCCTAGAAGACTGCTTGGAGTGGACTATATGAATGACAAGTTTGTGTGTGTCAGAGCTAAATTCTGAATTAGAATCAAGTCGCCTTAATGAATATGGGGTGGGTAGGTGGAAGGGGGTTGGGAGGGGGGTAGATTCCGCTATGCGGAGCTCCTATTTATGGTTAGTTTATAAAAAATAAACACGAAGGGGATAGAGGGGTCTGTTCGCTCGCTTCGCTCGTTCATTCGACCCTAACTTCTATCCTAACCTGTCCAAAGATGCCCAAATCCCGAGCTCGCTTCGCTCGCTCTTGCACCAAATAAAACACCAAAAAGTTAACTTTGTAATTACTTTAACAAGTTAACATATTTTATCAATTCCACCATTTCCAAAAATGGATCTTTATTATACTTATTTCATAATGTTCCGCCATTAATTATCACTTTTGCAAATATCCACATTTTAGTAATAATCTCTTCCGAAAGTAATCGTCAATCGACAAAGGGTCCGTCATCCGCGAAGAAATCGTGGCCAGGAACCATCGATTCAGTCGCAGCTTCACCGAACCCTGATCTCGTGAATGGCCCGGCTGTGTCCAATAGCGAAGTCGACGTAAAATAGCAAGCAATCGGTGTCCAGAGGAGTAACGGAGACGTCATAAAACAGAAGGCAGATAATAACAGTAAGTAGCACATTCACGTAAACTCGGAAGCACTCGGAAGCAACGGAATGACGCTTATGACGCGAAGTCGAGTATGTCTGTCACTGTCAGTATCAACAAAATGGCGGCCTAGGACTTCATTTCACGCATTTTGACAGATGCAACTTAAAAAAAAAAACATTAGAATTTAGTGTAATTAAGCCCAGTATCAGGTTTTAATTAGTGATTTTTATTTAACTTTAACTTTTTTTCGAATATTTATTATTTCGGCAACATAAAATTCGTGATAATCATCATTCACAATTTTTAACATATGGAATTTTATATTTTCAAATAGTTTTTTCGGAACTTCGTGGCTCTTTTTGACGCCAAGTCAAAACATAAAATATCGCTCATAAAGTCATAAATAACGATGGTTTAGCGATGTTTTGGGTTTGAACATTGATGTTGTACAAATTATATAAGTACAGGATTTATTTTAGAAACAGCTTGGAAGCAACCACCTCATTCCCAGGGGTTATTATCAACCATGTATTCAATTATACTATAATAACTCTTTTTATACAGTTTCAACTTAACAAAACATTTAAACTTGATAATAGAGAGAGCCTGTACACTTTCCGGGACCCTGTTGTAATAGCGTATACATTGTCCCAAGAATGAATTACTTTACTATGAATGAATTACGACTAATTAAATTAGTCGAGAAACCGGAATCACTAGCTTGTGTTTGTTCCTGGTGTTTATAGAATGTACATCCCTTTTTTTACTAAAACTACCTTTGTTTTTGTGAACATACATTAATATTGCAACGATGTATGTTCAACTATCAATATAGACGGTAGTGATAAAAACATTCCAGCTGAGATAACTAACAACAAATCAGCTGCGGAGCAACTCGAACCTATGATTCATAGGCCGAAGCAACCCGATCTCGTGTCGGTGGAGGGACACACGGCCGCCGCATTAGACACAACTCCCAAAGAAAGATGTTTTGCAGATATTGTGCATAATGGACAATGGAAGCCGGAGACTCGTAGCGAAGAATGGATTGAAGTACAGAAAAGAAGAAGAAGGAATCGTTTTATTGGGAATAGAGGAAATGCTATGGTGGACGATAATGCTCATTTCAAAGCGGCTGACATAAAAATTCCTTTATATATTTATAACGTATCGAAGGATGTATCTGTATGTGACATAACAAGCTACATTAGGAATAAATCTAACATTGAAGTGACCATTGAAAAAATGAATATGAAGGTTAAAAAGGATTACGATGCATATAAAATATTTGTACCTAGAAATAAACTAGGTATATGTCTGAATAAGGACTTTTAAGCTTACTTCGTCTTTTGTAATAAGTACACCAAGAGAATGGAATAATTAGATAACGTCTATCTTTTCATTAACAACTATGGCTTCATTACCGCCTACTACAAGAAGGGATTATAGTCAAAAACTGGCTTATAATCAGTAAGTAATAAGTAAATATGTTAACAAGTAAAGAACTATCTAAGTTTTTATTTGTAAAGAAATCATAAAGCGAAATAAAATAGTATCATCATTCAATAACAACTGGCCGGAGGGAATAGCATTTCGGCGTTTTGTAAATTTCTGGAGACAAAAAAGAGGTGTAGAAGGGTCTCAAAGTAGAGAAATTCAGTAGACATTAGTAATTGTAATATTAGTAATATAGATATATAATAGTAACAAATTATAGTAGGAATTTTAAGTGATATTCATTATTTTGATAGCATTTTTAATCTAGTTAGTATTAATATAGTTTAACTATGAAACTTTGTTCCTTTAATTGTCAATCAGTCAGGCGTAGTGTTGAACAAGTACGAGAGTTATGTAATGACTTTGATATAATAGCATTGCAGGAAACCTGGTTATTACCCGATGCTATTCCTTACTTAAACACTATACATACCAAATTTTCTAGTCATGGTATTTCAGCTGTAGATGTCACACAAGGTATGTTACGGGGTAGGCCCTATGGAGGGGTTGGGTTATTGTGGAGATCGTCGATGTTTAATAAAGTGGAGATTGTTGATTGTAACAATTCTAGTTTATGTGCAGTTATTTTCGAAATATGTGGTAATAAATATTTATGTGTATCTGTGTATATGCCTCAAAGTAATTATGAAAATTTAACTGATTTCACGAATATTTTAAGTATTGTTCAATCAATTATCTTAGATAAGGATATTAATTATGCTTTTATTTTAGGTGATTTTAACGCAGATGTGAATACATTATTTGGTTTAGAGTTATTTAATTTTTGTACAGATAATGATTTGGTGTGTGCTGATTATGAATATCTGCGACCCAAAAATGGTATCTTTACGTATATTAGTTATGCTCATGGTTCGAAAAGTTGGTTGGATCATTGTGTAACTACACGGCAGGCATGGGATACTGTAACCAACGTTTATGTTTTGGAAGACGTCATGTGGTCCGACCATAAGCCTTTGTGTGTTGAATGCAACATTAATTTGACCTTTAAGGCGGTGCATAATAACGTTCCTTTACCGAAATGTAACGACTTGTCAAAATGGGGTAAAAGAAATGGTCTCGAAATTGAATTTTATTCCTCTCTTTGTTCTGAGTATATACGTAACTTGGATTGGGAGAGGTTAAGGCATTTATCTACTGAGTGTTATAGTTGTACATGTACTGAACATCGCAAGTACCTAGATAGCTTGTATAACTCTTTTATTAGTTGTATAATTCACGCGGCCACACGTCGCGCGTCTCAGCATGTCTTCCACAGGCCCCCTGTTCCGGGGTGGAATGAGTATGTACGCGAGGCACACATGAAGGCACGGCAAGCTCGAGTATATTCGAGCTGGGTGGTTAACGGCTGGGGCGCCTTCTTCTGGTCCACTGTTCGATCAAATGAAAAGAACGCGAACTATTTTTAAAAGTAGGTTAAGATTTTGCCACAATTCCGCTGATAAAATAATCTTAGATAAGATTTCGGCATTTTGTTTAAGTAGAAACTTTAGTAAATTTTGGAAAGATACGGGAAATTTACTTAAGACTGGGTCTAAGATTACGGAGTCTGTGGATGGTCTGACGGACACACTGGCGATTGCAAACTTGTTTAGGGACAAATTTCTTGCGTTAAGTGCAGGACACTGTACTTCTCATAATCAATATCTTGTAGCAGATGGCAAGGACATTCATGTATCTGAAGAGATGATCTTTAATGCTCTGGGCCAGATGAAACTAGGAAAGGCGATAGGATATGACAATATAAGCGTGGAACATCTTCGGTTTGGAGAACCATGGGTAATTGCGTTCCTATCTGTATTTTTCAATGCTTGTATAAAGCATGCTTACTTACCGGTAGAAATGCTAAAAACGGTAATAAGTCCTGTTCTTAAATGTAAATTGAGTAGTTTGACCGACAGTGGTAATTATAGACCGATATCCATAGCTACAACTTGTGCTAAACTGTTTGACACCATATTATTAGGCGTTATTTCCAAATATATACAAATTAGCGATGCTCAATTTGGATTTAAAAAAGATAGTTCCACGGATGCGGCGATTTTTACTTTAAAGCAAACCGTTAGTTATTATAATAAGCGGAAAACAAATATTTATGCATGTTTCTTGGACTTAAGTAAGGCTTTTGACAGAGTCAGTTATGATATACTTTGGAGGAAGTTACGTGATGCGGGAGTGCCGTCATTATATATTAACATATTGATCGCATGGTATAGTAGGCAAATTAATGTAGTAAAGTGGTGTGATACATACTCTAAGGAATTTCTCCTACAATGCGGTGTAAGGCAGGGAGGGCTAACATCGCCTATGCTTTTTAATCTGTATGTTAATCAGCTGATCGAGGAGCTTAGAAGCACCAGACTGGGTTGCCACATTGGTTCTGAATGCTTTAATAACTTGAGTTATGCTGATGATATGGTGCTGCTGAGTCCCTCGGTTGGTGCACTGCGTGCACTACTCCAGATATGTGAGAAATATGCAATGGATCATAACCTATTGTACAACACCAACAAGTCTGTTTGTTTGCTTTTTAACAGTGGTAGGGTTCAACCTCATATCCCCCCATTGTATTTGTGTAATTCACCATTGGAATGGGTAACGACGTTTAAATACCTGGGTCATATTGTTACTCAGGATCTGTGTGATGGTTCCGATATGGACCGCGAGCGTCGTTCCTTGTCAGTGCGTGCCAACATGATAGCTAGACGCTTTCAAAGGTGTTCTTATACCTCAAAGCTGGCGTTGTTTTCAGCTTACTGTCAGTCACTTTACACTCCTCAGCTGTGGACGAATTACACTAAAGAGGAATATCGCAGGCTGAAGGTGCAGTATAATGATTCGTTCCGCGTGTTGTTCCGTCAGCCACGATACTGTAGCGCGTCCCAGATGTTCGCAGAGGCCCATGTCGTTGGTTTGGATGCGTTGATCCGTCACCGTATCGCGCGATTTAGAAGTTTTGTTTTTGGGTCGCAGAATAATCTCATCAAAATTATTTGTAATTTGTATGCATGTAGTGAAATTTTTAGTAGATGGTTAAATTTATTAAAATGTAATTAATAAAATGTAATAATATCATTGATTAACCAATAATTATAATTAAAATTTAAGGTATAGTTTAAAAAATTTAATTTTAATTTTGTAATGGATCTGTGTTGTCTGTATCAAATAAATTATTATTATTATTATATTATTAAATTTTCGTAAATATACTGAGAGGCCAAAGTTAATATATTTCTTTCTTTAAACTTATTTCTAAGAGACTCTCTCGGTTTTAGATTGTATGAAATAACTGAAATAAACTAATGTAGCTGTCTCGACACTAGTGAGACCTCTAATCTTTTTTACAGCATAGACTGCAGAACTTAGTCTGCTTGCTAGTTTGGACATATGGGGGCCCCACTGACGCTTTGCGTCGAGAGTGATGCTAAGAAAAACAGTGAATTCAATAGGGCTCAGTTCTTCCCCATTTAAAAACACATTGGTACTCAGATTTTTAACATTCGTTGTTGTAAATTTAATGCATTAAGTTTTATTTCCGTATAAATGTAGCTTATTAACGTTAAACCAATGCATTAATTTTGATATAGCATTATTTACTTCGTCACATTTAAATGATTGACTTTTAAGTTTAAAAATCAAGGAAGTATCATCAGCATATAATACTATATCATGTTTATCCCCTACAAGAGAAGGAAAGTCATTAATATATACTAGAAATAGGAATGGGCCGAGAATGGAGCCCTGAGGGAAACCCATTAGTACAGGTGACCCGGAAGAACTTTAACCATTGATAATAACTTTCTGCATTCTATTACTTAAATATGAAATAATAAGTTTAAGCGCTGTGTTCTTGACACCATAGTACTGTAGCTTCCTGATTAATGTCTCATGGTGAACGCAGTCGAAGACCTTGGAAAGGTCACAAAGTATACCCAAAGCATCCTCTGAATTCTCCCATGCGCAAAAAATATGTTTAATAAGCTCAACTCCAGCGTCAGTTGTCGAGCGACCCCTTGTAAAACAGAATTCATTTTTATGTAGCAATTTATTAATATTAAAGAAACTTAACATCTGATCATAAATTATTTTTTCAAAAATTTTACTAAATGTTGGTAGTACAGAAATTGGTCTAAAATTGGCGGGGTCTAATGTACTACCAGATTTAAATAAAGGTTTGACTTTACTATATTTCATTAAATAAGGAAACACACCAGATTCGACGCTTGTATTAAATATAGTGGCTAGATAAGGTGCTATTATATCTATTATAGATAAAATAACTTTAACGGAAATGCCCCATAAGTCTACCGTTTTCTTAACACCAATAGTTTTAAAATATTTAACGATATCTTTTGGCAGTACTCTATAGAATTTAAAAGTATTTGAACACGCCTTTAAATTTTGTTTAAGCAATGATTTGGCGACAGTAGGAGAAGAATTTAACGATTTAGTTGTCAAACAAGGAACATCAGTAAAATGTTTTCCAAAAGCCATAGCAACTTCTTGATCAGACTGAGTTAAATTATTGTTAATATGAATATTAACAATAATTTAACTTATACGGGCAAGTCGCAACTCTTTTGCCCGTTTCACTATTTATTATTCTACAGGTCATTTTAATTTTGTTAGATGCAGTTGTTGATGTTGACGTTCGTCTATATGCCAGTATATTATAAGTCTGTTCCCTATGTACATCCATGTATGTACCTAATTACTTTGAGAGTGAAGAGTGTATTTTGCCTTATTTGAAAATTAAATTATAAAAAGCGAGATACGTATATTGACTCAATGTATGAAGTATGGTAGGTTCCCTATGGCATGCGTGTACGTAATTAGTAATTACTCTAAGAGTGAAGATTGACTGTCTACAATGCTGGCCGTGCAAGGAAATGGCGTCACTTGTAGAAAAAAAAGTTTTGATAACTCATTTAGTGTCAAATTTTGATGATATTTAGATGTCTTAATTATATTATAATATAAATATTTATTGTAAATCTGCCAATATATTTACAGATTTAAAATATGTATTAAATATGGTAAAGATTTAAAATGTAAAAATGTGCCAGTGTGTGTAAGAAAAGAAATCCGATAAGGAAGCTTGTAACAGAAAGTTTGGGAATAATGTGGACCTCGTCAATTCATTCAGCTGTATGCGGGGCACCGATAGTACTAGTTCATAAAATGGGTAAAATGTTTACCATTTTAATTGTTGCAAAATAGAACTGATGGTGCTGAAGAAATTCATATAAAAATTAAAAGTTAAATTTATACTGCTATATGCGTTCCACAGCTGGGACCGGAGTTTTGGCGGGAACTTGACCGATGGCGGATTGTTGCTCCTGTATTATTGTTTAAATAATGGTTTGAAGTGGATTTTGATGTGTAAAGTGGTGCGATTTTGTGTATTAAATGTCTGCGCATGTGAACTGTTAGTGGAAACGGTAAAACAAGTGCTCTAACGGTCATGTGAATCTCAAGATAAGGTGTCTGTCTGCTTAGGCGCCTTGAGATACTATTGCCAACTGTCTGCTGGCTCAAGTTGCCGTCAAAATCTCAAAAGGGTTGGGCAATGTGACGCATCAATATATTGTGAAGCAGTGTACTATAAAGGATTATTATCACATGATACTGAGATAAATGAAGTCATGGCTTAAAGGACAAGCATCCAAGCCAAAAATCTAAGTATAAAACAGCTAGAACCCTATTTTATGGATATTCAGAAATAACAGCTGGGACCATATTTTGTAGATATTAATATAATAAGTAATAGTGATTGGCAGCGACGTACAGCTTACGCTAACGACGCTGCCACTCAAGAAACTTTCTTCCACTTCGCTTGTTCATTCTTCATGCTATATGGTTAGCCTATTGCTACTTCAGTTTCCTGATATGTTGCGCTACGGTCTAGTTCTACTACGGATATCCTCAACACGAAGTCTATCGCGCTGAGAAACTCCGAGCATAGCCATCTTCACAGCTTGTTGAGCGACCTTAATCTTCCTCACTCAGCCATCAATGAAGAACCGAGTCCCAGATCCATGTCATGACATACAATTTGAGGTATTCTACTTACCTACCTACGTGACCAGAAGATGTTTCGTAATTTCCCGAAGACTGTCCAGCCGGGCTGGGTCCGTCGATTGACCCACGAAATATTAATTTTTAATATCCCTGGATTAGTCTCTCAGACAATTTGTTCTAAGTAAACATACTCGTCAAAAACCTCAGGCGTAGTGCTCCAAACAACAACTGCCGGCAAAAGTGTGACATAAACGCTACACATGATCGTTTTTTCTTTACGCTACTCCCACATTATTTTCTCCTGTATCGTGGAGGCAGTTTACAAACATTAATTGCTCGAGAACAAACATCCAGACACGGAACAGTGATTTGTAGGTCATACAAATATTTGTTCCGTGTGGGATTCAAACCCACAGCCCACTGCAACTCATTGCTAAGCCACTGCGCCACATAGTCGTCAATTTTTTATCCATGTTCATTTTAAGACCTATTCGTTGTGAAACACTATTTAGGTCATTTGATATAGTGCGAAGGTGAGTGATGTACTCGCCATTGATGTTGATACCGTATCCTTTCCAGTCGAGTAGTTTGATAAAGTCTTTTCGTTTGAAAAGTTATATAAAAGTTAAGATATATCAGGGATATAATGTCATGCTATCTTACACCTCCTTGCAGTTGAATTGGTTGAATGGATAGGTTTTGTACTCCGGTTCCGTACTCGGATAGCCATTGTAGCTCTGCTGTACAAACATTTTCTACTTCGATATACCGATTACCGACGGTCTACTTGGCAAGGCTTAAGGGGCTGTAACAATGCTCAAATTTCGGTGGAATCAAAGACATTCTCATAGTCCATATACGCAAGACAAAGTGGCAGATTGTTCTCTTCTGTCTTCTTTATAATTTACCGAAGAGTGTGTATGTGGTTTTACAAGAATTGTAGACCAAAAACAATCTGGGCGTCATGTTTGACGTCCGCATGAGTTTCGCGAAACACATAATATGTAAGTGTAGTACGAAAACAGAGCGAGGTCAGCCATTAGTCGGCTCCACTCTCTGGTTAACAGGAAGAGTTAAATGTCTCTAAGGTACAAACTCCACCTGTACAATACCTGCGTTAGACCTATCGTGTCTTACACCCACCTAAATGTACTACAGAAAGTCCAAAACTTTTTCATCCGTAAAAGCCACCGGAGCACGGTGGTATCAACGGAATTCAGATTTACACAGAGATTGTCAACTTTACTCTATCTCCGAATACTTCAAGGGGATGTCTCAGCGCTACTTTGATAGCGCCTAAACCCATCCGAACACGCTACTGGCAAACGCAGCCAACTACGTCCGGATACCAAACGTCGCGCTGACTCTCCGTAGACCGCGTAACGTACTAATAGAACAACCATGCTCGCTCGATCCCGCCGATCCAAACTTCGCAGACACATCATACACTGACTCTACACCCACAACAAATGGGACAAGCACAAATAGGATAATGGCACGACGCGTTCCAGCACACACCGCGTACACACCGTACACCCGCGTACCTGGTGGGCGGTTCTCACCGCCCAGAACATCGACCGACACGAGCTGAACAACGGTTAGATAACTCGATAAACCTCAACAGAGGGGACGTGATGATTGGTAACAATACCAAATCAATGATAATATAATATCTAACGTTTATTTTCAGTACGTCGAAAATTGTTTTTACTAATCGCTCTACTACTGGTGTCGTTCCTCTCTGTTCTGCCAAGTAGCTGGTGGCTAGCGAATGTCGTCAGCCATACACTGTTGCCATCTCCACCTCCTAGCCAAGACTTAAGGCAGTTCTTAAGAAACAGAAATCTGCAAAGCTATTTGAACAACATGTTAGTGTATCTTTTCAGCTTACATTTTTTAACATCATTTAGACTACCTCTTTGATCTAGTGGTCGTAAATTGTTGCTCATGAGGTCCTGGGTTCGAATCCAGGGTCGGGCTAAAAATTTGTTAATGATTTTTAAATTATTTTCACTATAATTCTGTTCTGCGCAGATGGCTAGTCTACGGTGGGATTAGCCGTGACCCAAATTGGGTCTGGAGGACATTATTATGATTTTAATTAGCTCCAAAAAGTCCACTTCTTTTCTTCTTTTTCTTAAATCCATTATCTCCACACTAGGATTTTCTCCTGAAATGCGAGGGCAGTTTACATACATAAATTTCACAAGAACAAACATCCAGACCAGGAACAATAATTTGTAGGCCATACAAATACTTGTTCCGTGCGGGATTCGAATCCGCGGATCTTAATCATGCTACTCATAGCTAAGCCACTGCGTCACGGAGTCTACTGTTGGATATGAGCCTCTTCCACTGTAGAGAAGATTTGCTGAAGCATCACGCATCACTCAAAAGGAAAAAACGGAACCCTTATAGGATCACTTTGTTGTCCATCTGTCTGTCTGTCTGTCTGTCAAGACCCTTTTTCTCAGAAACGCGTGGAGGTATCAAGCTAAAATTCATACTAAATACTCAAGTCTACTGTCCTTTGGAGCTGTGAAAAAATCAAACTTCTAAGCCAACGCAATCAAAAGATACAGCCGTTTATCCCGCAAATTTTCGACATTCGCAAGGGAATCAAAACCTACAGGGTACTTCCCGTGAACTCAGAATCTTGAAATTTGGTACGAAGCAACGTCTTATAGCACAGATAAAGGAAAAATTGCGAAAAGCATAAATTTTTAGTTACATCATATAATAAAAATATTTTTAATAATTTTAAACTTATATACCTACGGATTTGTTCGGAACCCTCGGTGCGCGAGTCCGACTCGCACTTGACCGGTTTTTTTTTTACTTTTAGACAACTTCTGGCGGAGCCAACTCCTTCCGACTGTGAAAGCCAGTCCATTATCCCGATGATAATCTTGGTGTCGAGTCGTCCGCACCATTTCGAGCAACGTGATGCGATCAGGAACACGTGGGCCAAAAAACAGATCACTTACTTCATCATGGGTGTGCAGCAATCATCGAGAAACTTCATTATGGTGAGAGTCATCTCTATGTATTTAAATCTGCTGTCCGTTAGTGTCGCTAAAACTCGAAAACGGCTCGAACGATTTTAATGAATTTTGTGTGCGTTTCAGTAGGTCCCTGGATGGTTTTGATTTACTATTGGGTCCGGTAGGTGGCACTATTGTCGAGATCCACAAATACCCGTATGTATGTATTTATGAAAATAGTTTTTACAAGACTTTTTGTGTGAAAAAAAACTGAGTGAAAAACACAAGGAGATAGATAGAAGCGAGGGTAGAAATCAATTCAACGCACGCGATTTTCTCGGGGATTTCACTACCACAGAGCACTGTGACTTCGAGCGGACTGCTTCGTTGGTCTAGTGGTCGTTAACGTAATTGCTGATCATGAAGTCCCGGGCTCGAATCCCGGGTCGGGCCAAAATTAGATATTAGGTTTTTCTGTCAGGAAATTCTCAGTAGCAGACCTGGAGTTAAATTACGGCAACACGCACTGGTTGTATAATCTCGTTTTCAGGTTTTGAGGTCTACCTGACGAGAAGATGTGTCGTAATTTCCCGAACGCTGCTCAGCCGAGTTGAATCCGCCGATTGACCTCTCGGTCGAAGTTGGACTTACCTAGTCGGATTATTTGTCCCAGGTAAACATACTCGTCAACAACTTCGAGCTTAATGCTCCTAACAATTACCGGCATATGTGTGACATGGACATTAAACATGATGTTTGTTTTATCCATGTTCATCTTAAGACCTATCTGTTGGGAGACACTATTGAGGTCATTGAGCATAGTGCTTAGGTCCTCCAGCGATTCTGCCATAAGGACTATATCATCGGCAAATCGAAGGTGAGTGATGTACTCGCCATTGATGTTAATACCGTATCCTCTCCAGTCCAGTAGCTTGAATACGTCTTTCGATGCAGCGGTGAAGAGTTTCGGGGATATAACATCACCCTGTTTTACACCTCTCTGCAGTTGGATAGGTTTCGTACTCTAGTTCTGTACTCGGATAGCCATCGCAGCCCTACTGTACAAACACTATCGACAGTCAACTTGGCACTGCTGAAGGGACTGTAGCACCGCCCAAATTTCGACGGAATTAAAGGCTTTCTCATAGTCCACATACGTAAGGCGAAGTGGCAGATTGAACTCTTCTGTCTTCTGTACAATTTGCCGAAGGGTGTGTAAGCCTCTTCGGATATCGGCTTGTTCGGGAGACTGGAAGTCGTCGAGTCTACGTGCGAGACGATTCGTAATGACTCTCGAAAATAGCACGTAGACGCGGTTCAGAAGGGAAATCGGTCTGTAGTTCTTCAAGAGAGCGTTCTCGCCTGTCTTGAAGAACAACATCGCACATCTGCTCCACGCCTCCGGAGTAGTCCCACCATGGAGGACAGAGTTAAAGAGCTTCTGAAGGACTTCAAGTACCGGTTTTCCACCCGCTTTCAGAAGCTCCGCTGTAATTTCATCCTCGCCCGGAGCATTGCCGTTTTTAAGGTGCTGGAGAGCCATTCTAATCTCGCTCAGATTGACGTCCAGGATATCATCGGAATAGTGTCAGATAAGACTCGCTCTTGGATCATTACTCACATTTGCGTATGGCTCCAACGATGACATATACAGCTGCCCATAGAACCTCTCAATTTCACTCAACATCTCAGGTGTCCCGGAAACGATGCTGCCACACTCGGTCTTAGCTTTGACAGTTGTCTCTTCCTCGCAGACATATCTCTGGCAAAGACTTTGGAGCCTTGTTTCCGCTCGATCGCTTCTTCAATAGCTGTATTGAAGTTGCGTAAGTTCCGCCGCATGCATTTGGATATCTGTGAAACTAAGCGACCATCTGCTCAACAAATAAGTTTACGTTAGTCCCAACTAGCGACATCTGGTTAACGTTCTTACGTTAACCAGATGTCGCTAGTTGGGTTTAATAATAATCTTTTATTACTCCTCTATTAACCCTCATTAAAATTAGACTGATGAACTTGTTTGTGCTTTATTAGGCTGTAATGGTAACGGTATAACAGGAATGAAAATAAGCTCTTTGAAATTTCAGGAGGGCATTTACATTGAGGCTGAGAAGCTCCGTGACATCATAGTTTATGATTTCATCGATAGCTATCAGAACCTGACCTTGAAAACGGCTCTTATGTTGCAATGGACCCTCGACAAGTGTTCACAGGTGAACTTCCTGTTCAAAACTGACGACGATGTCTTTGTCAATCCGTGGACTCTGAAAACGGTGGCTCGTGAACACCCTCACGCTCAACTCCTTGGTGAGTCTTCTTGACTCGAAGTCAGTAATTCATTCATGGGTCAATGTATAAGATATTACAACAAAATCCCAAAAATATACAAGGACTATTATCGGCTTTAAATATTATTAAACAAAAATTCTACAAAAAGGGTTATTATAATATAAATGAATACGTAGTTGATAATAACCTCTGGGAATAGGCTGTCCTTTCCAAGCTACCAACTGTTCCTAAGCAAGTACGCGGTAGAGTCATATTATGGATGTAGCACGACTGTGTCGGATTGGCCGGGGAAGGACCACACTCTCACAGAATACTAGCGTAGTAGAATACCAGAATAGCAGCTTAATGCTTACTATGTATTCCTTCACCGCCGAGCACGTGGTAAATCAGCACTTAAAATTGTAAGTAAGTTATTAAAAGTTATTAAACAAAGTTTGTATAAAAAGGGTTATTATAATATTAAAGAATTTATGGATGATAATAACCCCTGGAAATGAGGTGATAGCTACCAAGCTATTTCTAATTTGTTGTGTTGTTAATTTGTGTAACATACATGATTGAAGCTGTTATTTTTAAAAAAAGTCCCGCTGGGTTTCTTTTTTTTTTCTTTTATAGAATAGGGGGCAAACGAGCATGCGGCTCACCTGATGGTAAGTGACTACCGCCGCCCATGAACAACCGCAACATCAGGGGAATTGCAGATGCGTTGCCGGCCTTTTAGAAAGGTGTAAGCTCTTTTCTTGAAGGTTCTTAAGTCGTATCGGTTCGGAAAATTCGCTGGTGGTAATTGATTCCACAAAGAAGTTGTGCTAGGGAGAAAACTTCTTCTAAATCGCACAGTGGTGGACCGCCAATCATCCAGATGGTATGGATGGTAACGCGAGTTTTGTCGCGACGTGTGATGGTGAAATTGAGCGGCTGGAATTAGTCCGAACAATTCCTCAGAGCACTCCCCGTGATTCTTGCTGGTTCTTCCCAGTACAGAGGTTTTTTTTTTCGAAACAGTGGTAATTAAACAAAAGAGTGACTTTCAATAAGTATTATTTATAATCTATATTGAATAAAAAAGTTTCTGTTTCTGTTTCTGTCTCATTTTCATTTTTGCCGGCGGGTATCGAAGGCAGGTTGTTAGCGTAGTATGAAATTTAACTTAGACCCTGAGCAACCACGGCTCTCCTTCTCTAGTATTAGACTTACTTGAAGTCTTGTTAGAACACGACGACCACAGAACACTGCGATCGTCTGCAATATGTTCTCACAGAATATGTAAAATAGTATCATTCAGCTGCTATTTTAAGTATTCTGTGAGAGCGTTATGCTATTTTAAGAATTTCGCAGTCGGGTCAACCCATTGTTGCTACATCCATAATATAGCTGCAGCCTGGTTCTACCACGTATATATCGAAAAATCGTCGGATATGTCCTATAGTCACCTCTACCGTAAACTCTTATGACACCCATGGGACGAAATATGGTGATCGATTTTCCTTTTTCTAGTGGACGAGAGTGATTTTATTCCTTGTTTCTTGTTCAGGCTACAAGATAAATAAGTCAAGGCTACATAGAGATGTGTACTACAAACACTACATGCCCCGTTGGCTTCAGCGAGATGATATTATACAGGAGTACCTGTCGGGGACGGGATATCTCATCAATGGTAAATTTAATAGTAATAGACTCAGGCGTTTACTTTGCGGAACTCCATTATATTAAAAATGAAAAAAAAAATAGCTAAAATCCGCGTAATAAAATTCTAGTCTCTTCAACCGAGTAAGAGATCATTTTATTTTAGTTTACTACGCGGATATTAGCTAGTTCTTTTTGACATCCCTAACAAAAAATTTTCTTTTGAAATGTGTAGCCGGTGAATGAAGTTATTAGTTACTACTCTATAGTGGTCAAAGATTTTTTATATTTTTTAATAAAATTGTTGCCTTGGATGCTTGTCCTTTAAGCCATGTCTTCATTTATCACAATATCAAGTGATAATAATCCTATAAAGTACACTGCTTCACAATATGTTGATTCGTCACTATGCGTAGATTTTGGGAGATTTTGACGGAAACTTGAGCCAGCAGACAATTGGCGTTAGTATCTCAAGGCGCTCAAGCAGATAGACACCTTATCTTGAGATTCACATCATCTTTGGAGCACTTGTTTCACTGTTTCCACTAATAGTTCACATGCGCAGACATTTAATACACAAAATTTAACCACTTTTACATCAAACCATTATTTAAACAATAATACAGGAGCAGCAACCTGCCGCCAGTCAATTTCTCGCCAAAACTCGTTTTTTATATCAAACATACAGATTAAAAATTATATTCTTCTTAGTACAATGAGGTACCTGGTTCTTTTTTAAATAGATGTAAGGTAACAAACAAACACAGTCCACCTGATGGTAACTGAATACTGGTTCAAAGGATACCTACATTTATTCGAAATAAATGAATAAAATATGGAATGCCTCGTTTTCAGTAAAAAATGTCTAAAGCCTTCGTATCAACAACTTTTTTTTTTAGAAATGATTTCAGGTGTCTAGGGATAAAAGAGTTGCTGCTATCATTGTAAATACAAAGTTTCTCACTTTGATCTCTCAATAAAAGTGTATCCCGTAGACTAGTTCGTAAGATCTGATACCTTCCCATTAAGCTTAACCTTAAAATCCGCAAATTTAGTTTAATTCCATGTGTAGTGTTCGTGTAAATAGAAATCATTATAATCGTGAAAATGAGCATGATATTAGTAAGCGTGACGTTGGTGAGCGTGAAATTGCTGAGCGTGACATTGGTGAGCATAACGTTGATCAGCGACACGTTTAGAAATAATTTAAAATTAAAAATTTTGTACAGTCGACTTCAATATAAGTTATTTAAGAATAACTTAAAAACTATTGGTCTGACCTTGATCAAATTCATATGGGACTACACGAGAAGTACCAGCTTTCAAATAAAAAAAGAATCATCGAAATCGGTTCACCCAGAAAAAAGTTCTGAGGTAACACACATAAAAAAAAAAACGAAAAAAAAAACATACAGTCGAATTGAGTACCGGCTCCTTTTTGGAAGTCGGCAGAAAAGTAAAATTAAATGCGATGACATCCATATAACTAGTTTTAATAATAATAATCATCATCATTACAGCCTTTCATAAGTCCACTGCTGAACATAGGCCTCCCCCAAGGAATGCCACAAAAGACGGTCCTGAGCCACCTGCATCCATCGACTTCCTGCATGTCTTACCAGGTCATCACTCCATCTCGTGGGGGGTCGCCTTACACTTCGCCTACCGGTACGAGGCTGCCACTCAAGAACCTTTCTTCCCCATCGGTTGTCGGTTCTTCGAGCTATATGGCCGGCCCACTGCCACTTCAACTTACTAATCCGTTGGGCTATGTCGGTTACTCTGGTTCTACTACGGATATACTCATTTCTAAGTTTATCACGCAGAGAAACCCTGAGCATAGCCCTCTCCATAGCTCGCTGAGCGGCCTTGAGCGTCCTCATACGGCGAGCAGTGAAGGACTACGTCTCAGATCTGTAAGTCATCACTGGCAACACGCACTGGTTGTACAATTTCGTTTTAAGGTTTTGAGGTATGTCTGACGAGAAGATGTGTAGTAGTTTCCCGAACGCTGCCCAGCCGAGTTGAATCCGTCGATTGACCTCTCGGTCGAAGTTGGACTTACCTAGTCGGACTATTTGTCCCAGGTAAACATACTCGTCAACAACTTCGAGCTTAGTGCTCCCAATAACTACCGGCATAGGTGTGACATGGACATTAAACATGATCTTTGTTTTGTCCATGTTCATCCTAAGACCTATTCGTTGGGAGACACTATTGAGGTCATTGAGCATAGTGCTTAGGTCCTCCAGCGATTCTGCCATAAGGACTATATCGTCTGCAAATCGAAGGTGAGTGATGTACTCGCCATTGATGTTAATACCGTATCCTTTCCAGTCCAGAAGCTTGAAAACATCTTTTAATGCAGCGGTGAAGAGTTTCGGGCATATAACATCACCCTGTCTTACACCTCTCTGCAGTTGGATAGGTTTCGTACTCTGGTTCTGTACTCGGATAGCCATCGTAGCTCTAGTGTACAAACACTTCAGCACTTCGATATGCCGACAGTCAAATTGGCACCGCTGAAGGGACTGCAGCACCGCCCAAATTTCGACAGAATCAAAGGCTTTCTCATAGTCCACATACGCCAGACATAGTGGCAAATTGTACTCTCCGAACTTCTGTACAATTAGCCGAAGGGTACTTATGTAGTCTATGGTGCTAAAGCCCTTTCGGAAACCGGCTTGTTCGGGAGGCTGGAAGTCGTCAAGTCTGCACGCGAGACGATTCGTAATGACTCTCGAAAACAGCACGTAGACGCGGCTCAGAAGGGAAATCGGTCTGTAGTTCTTCAAGAGAGAGTTGTCACCTTTCTTGAAGAATAAGACCACCGCACTTCTGCGTGAGTGTGACGTTGGTGAGTGTGACGTTGGTGAGTGTGATGTTAGTGAGCGTGACGTTGGTGACCTGTGAGAGAATGTCAGGTCTGCGCTCACTACCTGTTCAATGTGGTGAGTATTAGCACAAATGTTCCAAGTGACTCTGAATGCTGCAGAAAAGACGAAAGATGACGAAAAGAGACAGATCTTCTGATATGTTAATAGACATCTAAGAATCAACGATTTTTTGTCACGCCTGAGGATTAAGATAATAAGAAATTGTAGTGTTATACTACTTACGTATCATTTTACATTATTTTAAATTCATTTTTCCATTCTGTTTCGATTTTCTGCATTCACCTCAAAACTGGATATTTTACATCACCTTTATTTCCATAGGATCCTGTAACGATTTTAAACCATAAGAACACAATAACAAATCATTTCTACTTCGTATTTTCACATTATCAGCACTTTTAAATTGGTGTCAATGGAGTCTACCTTTTTTCGATCTTTTAGCTAGTTTTCCGTAATTCTACAATCTCGGCCTTTGTGTGGCAGCTGCGCTACCTTTTTTCCTATATCAATAATATCTCATTTTCCACTTAAATCTTACCGTTTTCTTATTATAAACCAAAAACAAAAATTTAACATGTTTTGTCTTTCTTATTTATATCGTTTCTATGGTAATTATATTCAAATTTACTACCGATCTGTTATTCCTATTTCGATAATTCCACATAAATCCTCCTTTCTCTTGACCATTTACAAAAAATTTGCGTATAATTTAAATAATTTTTCCGTTCTCTCTAGAAAGGTATAAAAGCCGAACAATCGGTGAAGAAAGGCAGTCTCGCTTCAGTTCGCGAATTAGAAGTATCTCCTAAAGGCCTTATCCCGGGGCCGCACTGCCCCGGGATCCTGCAAGCCTCCATTTACACGTGAAGTCTTCAGCGAAGCCTTCTTCAAACTCGGGCCGCGCCACTCCGGAATCCTACAAGCCTCCATCTACCTCGGAAGTCGCTTCGAGTCTACTACAAGCGCGGGGGCCACACTACTCCGGGCACTACTACTACTTACTCCAGGCGCCGAGTGCACCTACCGCCGGCGCTACCTTTGGGCGCTGCAACTGCTGGCTCTAAGCGTTGCGCGCCCCTTCTCCAGGCGCTACGTGCGCCGGCTCCGGACGCTGCGTGTACTGGCTCCAAGCGCTGCGCGCCGTCGCTGCTAAGAAAACCTACCTCTACAAGCGCAAACGGCGTGTGCTGGCTTCAGGCGCTGCGTGCCGTCGCTGCTAAGAAACCTACTTCTACAAACGCAACGTGTGTCGCTTCGACTTTTAGGCCCCACTACAACACTATATTCCCATATTCTCTCACCTTTATTTTTTTTTTTATAATCTAATTGTACTCTCACTTCATTCATCATCATCCTCATTCCATTTTTTATAAAATTGTAAATACCTTTTATAAATTTAAATATATTGTTTCTGGCTCTACTTTTGTTGTTTTGTTGTACTTAGGTTAGGTTTTTATTTTTTTTTAATTGTCGCTTCACGACATTTGGCGCCCAACGTAAAAGTCCTCTTTCTCTCTTAATTCTTCACATTTACTGCGCCTTGTCCATTCCCTTTTGATTTAATTGCTCTCCCTTTCGTTCTTAACTCATTATTCATCATTTATTTATTCATCCTTTTCATACCTTCCAAATTCTAAAACAACACTTCATCTAGTGTTTCAACTTATCTGGATTATATTTAGACCTACATTTCACACAACACTTATATTCATCACTTTAATATTTTTATTCTAGAACAAAACTTCATCTAGTTTTTCAACTTATCTGGATTATATTTAGACCTACATTTCACACAACACTTACATTCATCACTTTAATATTTTTATTTTAGGTAACTTAAAGAGGTATAACTTTTCAATTAAATCTTTATTTCTTAAACTTAACTTTGAACTTTACACTTTATATAAAATTGTTTTTCAAAGCTGAAGCGAGACGATTCATAACTTTTCTAAGCATTTACTAACTGTTAATTTGTATATATGTATAAATATCTAAACATTTATTAACTGCTAATTTGTATATATGTATAAATATCACATTTAATTTGTATATATGTATAAATATCACCATCATTTTCACCTTGTTATTATTTCTTTTAATTTGTTTGTTTGTTTGGTAGGTTAATCTTCACTTCTTATTATTTCAGACACATCTCGCTAGTGATGTTGCTGATCTCTGGTTTTGAGCCCTACCGCTCTGGCCGTTCTTTATCTTTACTTAAGTCATAGCGACTAAAGCTTGCTTAAGATTGATTTCTTTATCTTTATCTTCACGCAGGAGCGGATGACAACTCCTTAAATAAGCCTGAATGTCCTTTCGAAAACACACTTTTAAGAGTGGTGTTTCTTCGACTAATTAATTTTTTTTCCACGCAGGAGCGGATGACTACTCCTTAAATAAGCCTTAATGTCGTTTTGAAAACACACTTTTAGAGTGGTAGTCATTGAATGTGAACTCCACCCTTACCTGAATGGCAGATGATGAATGTAAGAGATGGTATATCTGATTTTGCCTGGTGATGTCTGTTTCTGCAAAGCTGTGTTTTTATGGTTTATTTTAGAATGTATATATCAAAATTTTTGCTGAGTCAAAAATTTTCCAGGGTCGGGGGGAAAATGTAGTGTTATACTACTTACGTATCATTTTACATTATTTTAAATTCATATTTCCATTCTGTTTCGATTTTCTGCATTCACCTCAAAACTGGATATTTTACATCACCTTTATTTCCATAGGATCCTGTAACGATTTTAAACCATAAGAACACAATAACAAATCATTTCTACTTCGTATTTTCACATTATCAGCACTTTTAAATTGGTGTCAATGGAGTCTACCTTTTTTCGATCTTTTAGCTAGTTTTCCGTAATTCTACAATCTCGGCCTTTGTGTGGGCAGCTGCGCTACCTTTTTTCCTATATCAATAATATCTCATTTTCCACTTAAATCTTACCGTTTTCTTATTACAAACCAAAAACAAAAATTTGACATGTTTTGTCTTTCTTATTTATATCGTTTCTATGGTAATTATATTCAAATTTGCTACCGATCTGTTATTCCTATTTCGATAATTCCACATAAATCCTCCTTTCTCTTGACCATTTACAAAAAATTTGCGTATAATTTAAATAATTTTTCCGTTCTCTCTAGAAAGGTATAAAAGCCGAACAATCGGTGAAGAAAGGCAGTCTCGCTTCAGTTCGCGAATTAGAAGTATCTCCTAAAGGCCTTATCCCGGGGCCGCACTGCCCCGGGATCCTGCAAGCCTCCATTTACACGTGAAGTCTTCGGCGAAGCCTTCTTCAAACTCGGGTCGCGCCACTCCGGAATCCTACAAGCCTCCATCTACCTCGGAAGTCGCTTCGAGTCTACTACAAGCGCGGGGGCCACACTACTCCGGGCACTACTACTACTTACTCCAGGCGCCGAGTGCACCTACCGCCGGCGCTACCTTTGGGCGCTGCAACTGCTGGCTCTAAGCGTTGCGCGCCCCTTCTCCAGGCGCTACGTGCGCCGGCTCCGGACGCTGCGTGTACTGGCTCCAAGCGCTGCGCGCCGTCGCTGCTAAGAAAACCTACCTCTACAAGCGCAAACGGCGTGTGCTGGCTTCAGGCGCTGCGTGCCGTCGCTGCTAAGAAACCTACTTCTACAAACGCAACGTGTGTCGCTTCGACTTTTAGGCCCCACTACAACATTATATTCCCATATTCTCTCACCTTTATTTTTTTTTTTTTATAATCTAATTGTACTCTCACTTCATTCATCATCATCCTCATTCCATTTTTTATAAAATTGTAAATACCTTTTATAAATTTAAATATATTGTTTTCTGGCTCTACTTTTGTTGTTTTGTTGTACTTAGGTTAGGTTCTATTTTTTTTTAATTGTCGCTTCACGACAAAATATTTCGTTACTGATAATAAAGGTCTTAGGTTCTCGTCACTTACTATGAAACAGCTGCATTATTCAAAGAAACTATTCTTTTACAGATTTCACTGCGTTTAATAAACTTATTTTATATTCCCGATGTTTGGGTACTTTACAGTATCCATGGTCACGGGGGCAACTGAGATGTTTGATGTCCCAATGTTATAAATAACCACGGCTACTTCCACTTTAAAATTGTCAATTTTTGGTCCGATCTACTTAGCTTAATTATCTTAAAGTCTTGCAGTACTATGCTTGGGTTGGAATTTGATTTTATTAATTATAGGAACCCAAGCAGATAGCGGGTAATACCAGATAATAACAGATAAGATAGGTGGTTGGGTACAATCATCTTTATTCAAATTATTTTGTTTTTATTTCAATAGCTTCGCGAATCATTATGTTGCTATGCGCCATTTAATGTGAAGAACGAACCTTCGTGCTATTCATCATATGTACTTATTTCTTCTACAACATACCTTATTTATGTCACAGTAGGACCATAACTTATTTCAAAGAGAGCTCTCACTATGAACCCAACCAGAGTATAACAAAATATATCTATGTCTTCTGCTATACGGTTGTGGATATGGAGTGCGCGCGTAAACGAGGCCTCATTCACCAGCTTAGTGCTGCCGCGCGGCATAGCCAGCAGCCGCGGCCGGTTATATGGGATTACCACTGAAATATAACATCAAATATATAATATTTTTTGTTGCTTCGTATTTTATGCGCCGCCACACCGTTCATCAGATTGCGTTAAAACATTGTCAACTTATTACTTGCACTTGCGCGAAGGTTATAGGCACAGAACAATTAAATTACAGTACAGCGCGCAACAACAAATTTATTTGAAAGTTATATATCATTCAATATCAATGAATTGGCCATGTAGAAAGAATGAATGAGGAAAGAGTGACAAAGCAAATTTATGTTGCAGAGGTGAACGGCATAGTCGGGAAGGGTCGCCCTAGGCGAAAGTTTATCGACCAAATTGGCGATATATTAAAAATGGGCCAAATCAAGAGTACCTTTAACCGACGAGCGTGTATGCGTAGGTATATGGATGTGGAGGAAGCGAGAGAGGTGTGTCAGGATCGTGCCAAATGGAAGTCCATAATCTCTGCCTACCCCTCTGGGTGACAGGCGTGAGTGTTTATGTTTATGTATCAATGAATGTAGGTATCATTCAAGAAAAGAGCGTACTCCTTTTTAAAAGGTCGGCAACGCATCTGTGATTCCCCTGGTTCCCCTGGTGTTGTACTTGTTCATGGGCGGCGGCAGTCACTTACCATCAGGTGAGCCGCATGCTCGTTCGTCCCCTCTCCTATAAACAAAAAAAATTAAACAATATAATTTTTCCAAATTTAAAACGATGTTTCCACAATTGCTTGTTCTACGGCAGCAACGCTACTTGTACCAGCTAGTTTTAAATAAAAATAAGAATCATTCAAATCGTTTCACAATTTACGACGTAACATATTATACATACAAAAATTGATATAATTGTCTGTTTGTATTGCAGGTGGATACCTAAGAAAAATTTTGAACGCTGCGTACAAAGTACCCTTAGTGAATATTGAAGACGTATATATATCATACCTGGTGGCGAAAAAGACTTTGAATCTTACACTGACCCACGACAGTAGACTTAGCCCAAAGAAGCCCTGGATTCCCCTTCGCTGCATTTACTGGAATTTGGCAACTATACACAGTGTGCGTCCTAGCGAAATTACGAGCATATGGTCCAGTGTGAAGCTCGTTGCAAAACAGTACAGAAGGAATAAAAATGTCTGCAATATTTATAACTTTTTTAATAGGGATATATTCTTGTATTGATGGCTTTTCCTATTTGACGACGTAAGAGAATAAATTACACAATAATATCAACCCGAAGGTGTCGTAAGAGGCGACAGAGGGAAATGAAATAGGAGATGGACACCAGGTGCGATTGTGGTCAAAAGTGGCTTATAATAAGTTAAAAAAAACCTCCCTTATTTCAATTCAAAGTAATATAAAAATGCGAGTCCAACTCTCCTGCCACACAAGGCCATTAAGTCAAATATCCCCCCTTGTAAGCAATCTATAAGGTCTATATTTAGCAGGGGACTGTTGCCTATCAACATTGCAATGAATTAATGATTGCTAAAATTGGCAAACGGGTTGCAAAGTGAAGAATTGTGGGATCAAGAAGTTGCAACTGTTTATAGTTCATAAATCAAACAAGTTGACAAATAAAAAGTTTATTTTTTAACAATTTTTTTATCCAATTATATATTTTGTTTTGTATTTTTTATAATATTTTTATTGAGGTGAAAACTTCTGTAGGCAATTTTGGGATGGGAAAAAAACACTGCACTCGCGTGACCATATAAATATGATTTTTTTTGTATTATATAGCTAATAATCATTCTCTTACATGTAAAAAAAATCTACGCAATAAATAAAAAATATATTACTATATTAATACCTTGACGTACTGGCCCAAGTGCAATACGTCACGAGCACGAGGCTTGTGCCAAACTAGCGACGCGTAGTACAGCAGCATGTGTACATGTGTACGCATATATCATTGAGTTTTCACTTCTGTCGGCAGTCCTTATGGCTGCCTTTGGTTTTTTTTTTAATAGAAGTTATACGGGAACAAAAGTAAATGAAGTCAATAATATTCACTAAATCTTGACATAATAAACCTTCTGAATCTAATAAATTATTTTTTAATTTTTATTTACCTCCATTCCATATACGAAGAGCTTTTCTTGGCAGGGCAAATAAGGTACGTGAGGGTAATATGGTATACCTTAAGCTTTGCCGCCTTATAAAACCAAAACTAGGAGGAGGACAGAGACAAATACACAATGTCGTATACTATAACTAATATAGAAAAATATAACACACAAGCCTTAGCAATAATTAGCAACATTTCGCAAAATCAACTTAAAAAAAACTAACTATAGTACGTGAGGGTAACATGGTCATCCGGTTAATATGGTCACTTTCTTATAACTCAAAAACTACAGCGTCGTTTGCATAGAACGCTCTGTGATACGATAGCTCTTGATCAGTCTATCAAATAATAAAGGGTCGAAAAGGCGCTCCTTTATCGACGTTATTTTGACAGTTGATATTATTGTAAATATTTTAGTCGATTTTTGTGTTGTGTAGTGTAGTTAGTTTTTTTAAGTAGATTTTTCGAAGTATTCCTAATTATTTCCAAAGCTTGTTTGCTATTTTTTCTTAATATATTAGTTATAGTATACGACTTTGTATTTTTGTCTCTGTTCTCCTCCTAATTTTGGTTTTATAGAGCGATAAAGCTTAAGGTGACCATGTTACCCTCACGTACTTACTATAATATCAACTGTCAAAATGGCGTCGATAAAGCGGCGCCCTTTTTACCCTTTATTATTTGAATGACTGATGAAGAGCTATCGTATCACAAAGCCACCTATGTAAATCAGGCTGTAGTTTTTGAGTTATAAGAAAGTGACCATATTAACCGGTTGACCATATTACCCTCACGTACTCTACATCTAAAAAGTTAATCAAAGACAAATAACATTACAATAAAATTATTACATGAGTTAGTACATTTAGAAACAACAGATATTAGCGTAATAAAATGAAACCGCTACTATTGGCTGTACATATGATAACTTCGTCGATTGTCACAATAATCAGATTCACAATAGTCAAAAATATAGAAATGTTTAATACTGACACGGCCAGTAACAGAGTTGACAAAGTTAATTTGAATATTCCGCATATTTCAAAAGCTAAACGACATTAAAACAATTTTTTATAAATTAGCGATCCGCTGCGACTTCGCAAAAGTGATTTCTATATCTCGTCAATAGCTCAACCTACCGGGTCTAATTGTGAATCTAAACCATCCAGAACCCACTAACTGTGAGGCTAACATCCAGATCGAAATTCATAAAGCTTTAGTTGATTCCGTCTCATTTTAACACGCATTTATTAGCTTGGTATGTATCTATGTAACGGAACTTTTGAATGTGATTTTCATCCCCTTCAAAATGTCGGATTGATTTGAAACTTCGCACATTTATCAAGGACCGACCCGCAATGTAATAATTTAAATAGTTTGTCCCATTATCCTTGCCAAGATCTTCACAATTTGCGAATAATTCATAAAACAACAACGATTTCTACAAGTTCAATCTACTTTAAGCCGTGTAAAAGAAATTCGTTCCAAAAAAAAATGCATTCGTAGTTAGCACTAAAAAATAGAAAATAAATAATAGCTGAAAAAAAAATACAATAGAAAAATACGATTTTGTAGATAACGGAACTAAAAAGTAGGAAGTAATTTTTAATAAGATTAAAATAAGAAATTAGTGATTAACATAAAAACAATCGTTTTATTGTAAAAAAGCGTGGAGTGCTTGATGTCATTTGTTGTAAATATTTCAGTGGATATTTGTAAAATTAGCATCACCATAAAAATATCTGAAAAAGCACCCAGGCTTTTTATAATATAATGAAATTTTTATGTTAATCACTATTTTCTTATTTTAAACTTAATGAAAATTATTTTCTACCTTTTAGTTCGGTTATCTACAAAAGCGAGCTTTTTTTATTTTTTTTAACTATTATTTATTAGTGTGAAATATAATGAGCGAGTAGATATCCCGGCTAGACAGGCTACAGCGGATGACATCAAATACAGCATATCAACTATTACAAAAATTGTATTTGTTTTGTAAAAAGGCAATGTTATATACTATGGAAGGAGTATTTTGATTTGCGGTCTAACAAAGGGGTATAAAGGCCTAAAATACCATGAACTAATTACAATAAGCCGTTACCCAAAGATGCAGTAATGATAATGAGGCCTCGTACTGGACATATCCCATCTAAGAAGTTTGCATTTCTCATGAAAAATGTCCAGTCACCGAACTGTGATCAATGAAGTGTTCCCGAGGAACAAATGCTTGTTTTAATGGAGTTTGTCCACAAGTTAGCAAGAACAAAAAGCCTTTCGTATTGGATAAGTGTCATTTTAAAAGACTTTGTTAATTGTTATATAATTTTTGCTAACACAGATTCTAACGATAGAAAACTAATAATCAAATTGTACAGAGTGAAGTTCTTGGAACAATTTTTTTCAATAACAATATTTCGATTTAATAAATATAGATAGATAGAACATTTTTTTTTATAGGATCGGGTGACAAACGAGCACACAGTCCACCTGATGGTAAGAGGTTACTGTGACCCATAGACATCTACATCTATCCTCAATAAAGACTCAAGATGCAGATGCGTTGTCACCTGTGAGGACTAAGATGGAATGCCTCTTTGCCAGTAAAAAGGGTCTCCGGTTCTCTACACTCACCATACGAAACATAGCAGCGTTAAGCTGCTATTTTACGCTGGTTTTCTGTGAGGGCGTGGTCTTTCCCCGGTCGAGCCGACCCATTCGTGCTACAACCATAATATAGCTGCAGCATGGCTCTACCACGTAGAGAACATTCTTTATTATACAAAATTTGACCTGCTCAAAGTTCAAAAACTTTATTAAATAAAGTATGTATAAAATGGGTTATTATAATATTAAGGAATTTATGGATGTTAATAACCCCTGGGAATGAGGTGATAGCTACCAAGCTATTTCTAATTTTTGTGTGGTTAATTGTGTAACATACATGATTGTAAGCTGTTATGTAAAAAAGGGTTTCTTGCTGGTTCTTCCCAGGACAGAAGTTTATTTTCGAACCAGTGGTAATTAAACAAAAGAGTGACTTTCAGTAAGTATTATTTATAATCTATATTGAATAAAAATGTTTCTGTTTCTATTATTGCACTCAAAACAATTTGGTACAAAGGCGAACTTATGCCGATAAGGCATTCTCTGCCAGCTAACCTTTGGCAATGTGGTGAGAGTTATGGGTAGAGCCGCAACAGAAAAAAAACTAGCTTATTTACACATATTATTTAAAATATAAATTACATACATTGTGTAAAATATAAACATGTTACTTCATATTACTTATAACGTAACATAATATATAAATTTACATATATGTTTGTAATGTAAATGTTTGTTTATCAAATAATATACATATTCATTAATCTGGAGGTAGCCGTGGTTAACTATGACATTGGGACGTCATACGACTCAGTCCCCCCCGTGACCATGGGTGCTGTAAAGTGCTCGAAACGTCGGGAATATAGAATAAGTTAATATACACAATAAAAGCCGTAAAATTAGTTTTATTTAAATGTGTAGTGTTCGCGTAAATATAAGAAATCATTACTTTATAGTATTTGATAAAGAAACATTTACTTGATTTACAAATGAATCTTGCAACCGAAACTGGCTGCAGCGTTTCTCAGTCACATATGCCAGATGGGTTGCGCAGGTGTATTCGATTGATAAGGATTAATGGTCGTCTCGTCTTATTGGAAAATAGTTAACATTGTGCGGCTTATTTAACTCGCACAGCGCAGGCGCGGACTTGGGAACATTTATTTTATTTTATTTTTTATTTTTATAGGATAGGGTGACAAACGAGCACACAGTCCACCTGATGGTAAGTGGTTGCTGTGGCCCATAGAGATCTACATCTATCCTCGTTTGCGAATTAAAATGTAGATGCGTTGTGACCCGTGAGGACTACGATGGAATGCCTCTTTTCCAGTAAAAAGTGTTTCTGGTTCTTTACACTCACCATACAAAACACAGCAGTGTTAAGCTGCTATTTTACGCTGTTATTCTGTGAAATTTTATTAATCGTATCGAATGAACTATTAAAACTATACATTAAATGAAACTAATTTAACAAATTTTATGGCGCTTAATTTAACTTTTGGAACGAACTTACTTACCGGACGGTACGAATTTTGCGGATGGGGTCTAGGCGAGAAAAAGTGTGAAATTTTTCCGCCAAGACCCCTTCTGACGTAGTGACGGCCTTTGCGGCTGTAAGGAAGCAAGATGAAATAATATCCATCTCCCTTATTATCTTGCCATGAATAGAAGAAATATTATTTTATTTTAAATGATGCTTCATTTTAATATACGCTAGTAATTCATTTATTTGTATTTGGTAGTCAATAATATAATACGTTTATCAATAATAATATAACGAAAGGAACTTCGTTCCAACGAAGTCTTCCATGACACTCACGTAGTTTTTGTTAATTCCCGACGTTTTAATTGTTTGGGATCCTATAATTAATAAAATTAAATCTCATAATAATAAAAACCAAACCCATGTAAGACTATCAAGATACTCTAAGCTCGTTCTGCGTAAATTGGCACCAAAAATTCATATACAAAAGCTGAAGGTAGCTAACTATGACATCGTGATGTCAAACATCTACCGTTCCAAGCGTCGAGAGTTAAAAAGTTAAAATTAAACACGATAATATCTATAAAATTTGTTTCATTTATGTGGTTTAAGATATTTATTTCTCAAAAGAATTATAATTCACTTACATGAGAAATGTTCACAATGTTACATAGCTTAATTCAAACGGCACGACACACAAACAAAGTGATAATAAAACAAAATGACACAGTTTTCTTTAAAATCTAAGATAAATAATGTAACAAAAAGAAAAGTTTTAAGTGCAAAGTAAAATAATAAACGTAAAATGCACTATTTGGTTCGACCGCAGAGTGCAAAAATATTCATATACCGACATTATGCTTCGCTTAATCGAATTGACGTTGAACTATCGAGACTGGAAGTGATATGCATCCTTAATTGAGCGCAATTACTACTTGGTCAATACTATATAAGCTTTCTTAGATATATTTTTTAAACTTTCTACCATTATATACATATATACAAATATACACACATACATACATACACGTACATATACATGTGTGAATACATTATTTACATACCAATACATATATATGCACATACACACACACACACACACATATTCACATTCAAGTTTTATTAATCATAATTGTATTAAGTTGAATCAAATATTATGCCAATTTAATAACATTTTAACATTTTAGTTTACGTATTCATATTTTAATCATCCAATGATTAACTACAATTTAAGCGAAGTACCAAACCACCTAGATTATGTGTTTAGAAAATAAGGTTTTAGTAATTTTTTAAAGGTTGTCATAAAGGTGCTAAAAGAAGGAAAGGAAGAAAGAATGATAACGTGTGGATGGATAAAGATGTACAAAAGGTTGTGCAAGAAAAGAAGAAAGCGTGGTTGGATTGGTTAGCAACAAAAGCTAACCAAAAAGTTCAAAAGGCAACGGATGACGAGATAAAGGAAGCAAGAACGAAGTATAAAAGATTGAAAACAGCAGCGAAAGAAATTGTGTCTAGAAAGAAAGAAGAACGAAAGGATGATTTCGATAGGAGGCTCACTGAAGATTTCCAGTCAAACATTAAGTTTTTCTGGAAAACCATCAAAGCAGCCAGAGGAAAACTTCTACCTCGGAGCTGAGTACAATCAGGAGTCAAGATGGGAGCATTATAAAAGGAGAAGAATGTGTGTTAAAGAGATGGAAAGAGTATTTTGAAAGTTTGTTTGAAAGAGAGGAAGTGCAGGTACAGCATCTGCCACCTTCCACGGAAACTAATATAAATGTTGATGAAAATGAGATAAGCATGGATGAAATAGTGAAAGTGTTGAAAAGTATGAGATTAGGTAAGGCTGCAGGGTATGACAGGATTACCGTCGAGATGCTGAGGGCTGGACAGCGCCTGGTGGCTAGTCAGCTGTACCGCCTTTTCAATCTGTGCTGGCGAAATGGGCAAGTACCGGGAGACTGGTGCAAAGCCGTAATCGTGCCATTGTATAAGGGAAAAGGGTCACGGCAGGACTGCACAAATTACCGCGGTATAAGCCTTCTTAGCGTCGTCGGTAAATTGTATGCGAAAGTGTTGATTGAAAGGATTGTGAATGAAACAGACAAGAAAGTATGGGATGCACAAGCGGGATTTAGAAAGGGAATGGGATGTACGGATCAGGTCTTTTCCTTGCGGTGCATAGCCGAAAAGTATTTGGCTAAAAACAAGAAAGTCTACTGCGCGTTCGTAGATCTAGAAAAGGCCTATGATAGAGTGGTGAGGAATGAATTGTGGTCAGCACTGTCCGTGAACGGTGTGAGCAGTATCCTTATACGAGCAATGCAATCTCTTTATAGGGATTCTAGTGCTTGTGTAAGGATAAACGGGGCATACACTGAATGGTTTAATATCGAAAAAGGTGTTAGACAGGGATGTGTAGCGTCACCGTGGCTGTTTAATCTGTTCATGGACAATTGTTTGACAGATTTAAAAGAGAATGAAAGTGGGTTGAGAATGAATGAGTTACTCATCAAATGTTTTCTCTATGCTGATGACCAAGTATTACTTGCGTCTTCGGCCGAGGAGTTGCAGGAGATGGTAACTGCTATGAGTGGAGCTTTTGTTAGAAAGGGAATGAAGATGAATGTAAGGAAGACGAAAGTGATGGTGTTTGAAAAAGATGAGGCAGTGACAGACTGCAACGTTGTGATTGAAGGTAAACAAATTGAACAGGTGAAAGAGTTTGTGTATCTGGGTTCAAAGTTTACAAGAGATGGAAAGTGTGAGAGTGATATCGAAAGAAGAGTGAATGCAGGAAACATGGTGAATGGAGCTTTGCACTCCTTTATGAACAGTCGGAAGGTGTCTAACAAGGCTCGTTTGGCTGTGCATGAGGGGGTGTTGGTTCCGACACTCATGTACGGAAGTGAAACTTGGGTATGGCAGAAGAAACATGAAAGCAGAATAAATGCAGTTGAGATGAGAGCATTAAGAAGTATGATAGGAGTTAAACTAAGTGACAGGCTAAGAAATAGTGAGATAAGGAAACGTTGTGGTCTGAAAGAAGATGTAGTGACAAAAATTGAGAAAGGTATGCTGAGAAGGTTTGGCCATGTCGAGAGAATGAATGAAGAACGATTGACGAAAAAAGTGTATAAGGCGAGTGTGAATGAAAGTGTTGGAAGGGGTAGACCTGGGCGGACATTTCTAGACCAAATCAGGGACGTCTTGAAAAAAGGCCAGGTCAAGAGTACCCTAAACCGTAGAGCATGTATGAAGGGAATAATGAAAGTGGACGAAGCAAAACAAGTATGCAAGGATCGTAGCAAGTGGAAAGAACTGGTCTCTGCCTACCCCCACGGGAAAGAGGCGTGATTATATGTATGTATGTATGTATATTTAATGTAATGTATATATTTTCTTATGACACCCACGGGATGATAAGGCTTTACGCCGTCACAACACGGCCCCGTCCTATGGGTGTCGCATTAAGGCGACAAAGGGAAATGTAATCGGCTAGTCGGTGATTGCCAGCAGCATCTTTCTGATTAAAACTCAATAATAATTAAAAAACTGCAGTTGCCAACCCGTCTGCCAATCTATGGGGGAAATCTTTGTTTAGCAGTAGCATTTAATGGACTGAAAATGATTTTATTGACGTCCTTGTTGAATCTAAAGATCATAAAGATGGAATTTTAGAGACATATTTTACACACCACACTATTGCAGCGTGGCATATGTTTTTCTGTTTTCAACTGCTTCATAACCATATAGTATATTAGAAAAAAATCCCCAGCAGTAGGACGTTTATTGGTCTGTAAATATATTGTAATTTTTAAATTACCTGCAGGAATCAATTCTTACATTTTGATATGTTACACAAAATCTAACAATATTAGGTACAAGTACAGATGATTGTCTATATTTCCTTACAACACTATTAAACTATAATTGAAGCTATAAATATAAAAGTGTTCGGTGTAATTACGGTGTAAATAAGACTCAGTTTTATTAACTGATAATCTACCACGTGCTTGACAGTAAAGGAAAACTCAAGCCAACAAAAAAAGTCGTAAGGAAATCTGACAAAACAAAATAAATCGAAGAGAATATTTGTTATAAGTTTTTTCAACAGACGTAGGCAGCATCGTGAAACCCTACATCTCTATAAATCATCTAAAAATCTAAAATTAAAGGGGACTTGTGCTTAGCCGTGCGGTACACATATGTTATGTAACCTACGTGTACATATAGTGAAAGCTGTTATACAAATTTTAAAATATTATTAATTAAAAAAATCGTCCCCAAATACGTCCCCTGGTTCCGAACAAAGAATCTCTGATGAAAACGAATATAAAACCATATAAAACCTAGATCTATCAAGTTACTCGCACATTTGACGTGACGCAGAATTATCCATCATGGACGCGAAATTGGTGTTGTTCTTAATCGCTTTGTTGTTATTTGTGGAGCGTCATACAGAAGCTGGTAAGTTGTTTGACTTTTTTAAATGTAATTTTTACAAGGTTATACGACTTTATTTCTACCTAGGAGTTTGTTAGGGTAGATACCACCTTCAAGTCTATTTGTCACCAAGCAGCTGTGAGTGCACTGCTGTATATTGGCCTTAAGGGTACAGAGAGAAAGTATAACTACAAGCTGTGAGACGTTCCATGTTAGTCCTCAGAAGTGACAATGTATCGTTGCCTGATTTGTTTAGAGTGGGTTCCAGGAATACAGTAGTTTAGTAAGGTTGCAGTAGCTTTACCATGCAGTGGCGATGTACGAAAATCGTCCACCCCATATCATCCCGTGGGTGTCGTAAGAGGTGACAGAAGGGAACAAATCAGATGGGCAGCAGCGTCTTCCTAATAACGACTAAAAATATAAAAACTGCGGTTGCGAACCTTGGCAACTATGGAAAATATCTCCCCTTTGAGGCAATCTACGGGGGAGGCCCATGTTCAGTAACGGCAGTATCTGTTAGCGTAGCTATCAGCTGGATTATAATTACGTTAGTCATTTTAATTTCCTAAAATAAAAAATAATTGCTGTGAACCAGTGTTCTGTACAATCAATCTCACAGAATACCAGCGTAAAATAGCAGCTTAACACTGCTGTGTTTCGTATGGTCAGTGTAGAGAACCGGAGACTCTTTTTACTGGAAAAGAGGCATTCCATCTTAGTCCTCACGGGTGACAACGCATCTGCATTTTGATTCTTTATTGAGGATAGATGTGGATGTCTATGGGTCACAGGAACCACTTACCATCAGGTGAACTGTGTGCTCGTTTGTCACCCTATCCTATAAAAAAAAATTATAAGGCAGTAGGAATAGGTACAAGAAACCATTCATTGGAAAAGTATCATCGGCATATTGAGGGGAAATACATGCCAAAGGATGACGTTTTATGTGTAAATATTTTGTACAACTTTCGACATCAAAACCATTGGAATCTATGTGTGATTTGTACTCACGCGAAGAAACGTCTGCTGTGGTTTGAAGTATACCCAGTGAGGCTTTGTTTGACGTGTCGTAATAAGGCAAATATGAGAGTTAATGCTATTAAAATATGATTTAAAATCACTTCGTCATGCCGGGCCTCACCGTTCTATCAGTGAGCACCAGCCATTATGGCTTAAGAGGATCATCGACTTCCCTTGTGTCGCGATCTGTATAGAGAATATCTGACGCGATGCTGCAGCTACAGTCGCAACACGAATAGGTTGACTCGGCCAGAGTAGGATCACGCTCTCATAGAACAGCAGCGTGAAATAGCAGAATTATGCTGTGCTTCGCATGGCAAGTGTAGAGAATCGGAGACGCTTTTAACTGGTTACAAGACATTCGATCTCAGTTCTCAGAGGTGACAGCGCATCTGCATTTATATTAGTAATTGAGGATATATGTAAATGTATATTCGCATACTTATCATCATAACTCAGACGGATAGTTATTAACTAGTATTTTAATAGAAAAATCAGAAATTGGAAGCAGTTTGAATTACAATTATAATAAAGCGCGGAGATTATGCACACAAGTTAAGAGATATTTGTTTTGGTAATAGACGCCTTGCAATTAGATAATGCAAAATGACTAGATAAGTGTATGAAAAGAGTGTGCTTATGGTAATTAATATAAATAGTTATATAAAGACCCGTAAGAGAACTGGTATTATATCATATACAGAATAAATATTTTCGTAGATTTCTTGTATGATAGAGTTATTCCAAAGAAACCAGAAGAACTAGAGGCTTTAGGTCTTAAATGCATTCCCGGTCATACGGTCATGAAGATTGGGGCAGTTGAGAAAGAAAAACCAAAAAATGAATCCGACTATGAAGATGATGATGCTGAATCCGATGCAAGGAGGACACACATGAATACGCAAACTAAAGACGAAAGTTGTAAAATTTGTGTCTGCTCAGTTGAGGGAAAAGACGAATATTGTAGCAGAAGACCGGCGAGGAATGTGAATGAATGTATTAGAATGAGCATGTTAACTCAAGCTTTTACGAAACATGTTCCGTTTGAACTTGAACGATCACTATCTTACAGAATGAGAAGAGGTTTGTTTATAAACAGCGGGTTAAGGCAGTTGATAGAATCGTTTCTAGGTTCAATTTAGTAACTTTTTTAAGGTTGTGATTACCAAGCAAAAACGTAAAAAGGTAGATACAATCTGCTTATGATTAATATCTATTTTAAAAGCCAGTAGTTTAAAAAAAAACATGTTTTATCTTTTGTTTTTTTTGTTTGGAACCAGAATTTAGTTACATTTATGTCTCTCAATTTAAATCACAGATTACATCTGGCACAAAGATGAAATCCCTTACGCACCAAGCGCGCTATGCTTTCGAGGAACTTCCTACTATACGAATAACGTTAAACCGGATTCGACTCCAATAGAGGAGCAAATGAAAGTCGATTCACCATTGGATTATGTCACAAAGGGTGTTTGTTACTACTGCGTATGTTCTATGTCCGGTGGGGCGGCTGGATGCATTAGTAGAAATACGTGGTTCTGCGACTATTATAGAATCATCAAAAGACCTGATAGCGCCAGAGATCGTTACAGGCACTTGTTTAAACAAGATAGACCAGCATATTTCAGACAGTTGTCATATAGGATTAGAAGAACGATGGACGAAGGCCTCGTTGAGCTACTTGACAACGGTATGGGTTTGAAGAATTTGGTTCGCACGGCACTTTTATTGGGTTTCTTCTATTCGATGTAAAATTTTGTATGTTTAACAAACCTTATGGTATACATTTGGTACAGTAGACTTAGATTATTTATCGTGTTTTAGCGGCTTATTTTAAAAGGGTGTAAATATGAAGAAAATGTACCTTAAAAATACCTTAAATTACATTACCGTAGCGTAACGTGTTGTCTTCTGCTACCAATCTAAATTTTAATTGTGAATGGTTTCAAAGCGTTGATTTTCCGAAAATTTTGATGTAAGAAAAAAAATTTGCGTATTCTTTTCCCCTTGTACACAAAAGATTGGTCCTTGCAGGAGGCGACACGTTGTGCTGCGGACATCCAAACGGTCATCGAAGAACTCTTCTTGAAGGAGTGAGGAACAAGATTCGTTTGCTGAGAAGAAAAATTCCCAAGGAAAACATATTATCTGGAAGCCCTGCTGGAGATTACGTAGATTTTATCGTCAACAATGACAAGTAATGTACAAAACATTGCTTGTTCTTGTATAAAGATTCTGAAGCGCAGATAAAGTAGCTATAAGAGTACAATATTAAGAGTCATCGAACATCTTTCCGTTTCTTATACACAAGATGAAGTCAGAAGTCTGCAGTGAGACTGTAATAATGCGTTGCCCCGAAATATACAAAAATTTATTGTTTTGTTTATATTATCTGATTGAAGAAAGTGCATAATGTTGTCTGAGACTTTTGTGGCTTGAGTGTGTTAGTTGTTTTTTTACTTTCATACTACAATTGTGTGTTCATTCATTAAATAATTTTATATAAATATTAAAGTGATGTGTTTCAATGTGACCGTGAAGGGTTTTATGTTCAGTTGTCTTAGCAATCACAACTTATCACCCGCTAAATTGCACTCTTTTCCTAGATGTTTTACGCACGCGTCTATCACCTGCACTAGCCCGTTATTTTTCAATTACTGCACATTTAATTTCATTTAAAATTACGTACTATATAGATTTTAGCAATAAGAAAATATCACTTATATTTTGATAGTTTTTATCTTTTCGATTTACTTTATGAAAATGTAGGCACCTTTTTAACTTCACCAATTAAAGAATTGCAGAATTATATCTGGGGATTGTTACAAAGGTTAGTCCACTTTTTATTCCTGTGAAATTACCTCCAGGGGAAATCATGGTACTTGTTAGTCTATTTATAAATTATTTACTACTTCTTTTTGGTTTTTAATATCGCTACGAAATATGATACTACTCGATATGAAAATAAAATCATTCGAATGACAAAATGTAAGATAAAATAAAGAATGGTATTTTATATTTTTTGATCAATGACGATGAAATAAATATAACATAAAAAGACAATGTTGATATAGTTAGCTGCGCAAGTATCCATTTTTATGCCCATATTCGTGAAATATAACACGATATTGAATTGATATTTTAATCAGACTGGTTACGAATAAGTGGATTAAAAATAATAGGAAATGAAAAAAAAATCAATCAAATGGCAGGAGAAACAATAAATAGATATGGAAATAGTAAGATTGCTCTTCGGGGAAATTTAATAGGGATAAAATGGACTAACCGGGTTTAAAGTCACTTTACTAACGTAAAATAGGTATAATTACGATTATTTACATAATCTAAAAGAAACAGAAAGAATATCAAGGTAATACAACTTCGCCAGTCTACTATCATGGGTAGGTACAGGTAACTTTGTTATTTTATAGTTTTAAATTAGCCATAATTCAGAAATATTTGTCGTTCGTTATAACATAACATAACATAAACACTCACGCCTGACACTCAGAGGGGTAGGCAGAGAGTATGGACTGCCATTTGGCATTCTAAGCAAATTATTTGTACACTTTTTTATGATTTGGATAAACAGTTTCACAGTATACACTAGACTAACACATTAGAAACTAGTACAAGTGCTTATCCGAATCACAAAAATGAAGCTGGAGTTTCACCAAGTGAAAATAATCGCAAGTATAAATTATATAATTTGTTCACAGCTGTGTATAGTAGTTTGAATTAGGCAGATACAAGAAATCTCTCGTATGACATTGATTGGCTGAATGGAAGGTTAGGTAGACAGCTCGTATCAGAGACAGAGATAGTCATAATACATCAAGACTTGATCAGTAATTTAGTTATGCGTTAATGTTGACTTTGTCGTGGCCATAAAGTTAGGAATAATAAATCATTCGTGGATAAGTCATTTATCATGCTTATCTGCCATAACAATCAACGCCATAAACTGCCTTTCTTACTACACTGCTGAATTTCAGTCTTTGCAAAAATGCTTCATCATTTTTAATCATTTCCCGTGCTCGCCATGCTGCTCCATTTCGCATGCTGCGCCACGCCATCGTGCACGCAGAATAAATATCCTCACTTTTGTTTTACAAACGTTACCCTTACACTAAGATCGTGTTCTGTAATGTGTTAGTTTACAAACATAAATTGCACAAGGACAAATATACTACTGCGCACCATCAATAGTCTCTCAGATTTGGTTTAGGTAGTTTCGAAACGATATTACCCGTTTGTACGATGCCAGAACTTTGTTCTTTAGGAATGGTATAACACATTTTTATGTGGTAGAGTCACGCTGCAACATTCTACTATTGGACGAAGAAACACGCTCGCACAGAAAAACAGCGTGAAACAACTGTATAATTCTGTATTCTAGGTATTCTATTTTAGTCGTCAAAGGTGATAACTCATTTGCATTTTGATTCTTCATCTTCGATAGTGCGTGTCTATGAGCCACATGATGCACGTATCATCAGGTGGACTCTGTGCTCATTTATCACCACGAATTCTTAATGCAGGTGATGTGGGAAATTGAAGAAATTTAAATTCCAATTTTATATATCAAAAGCATTTTCAAATAATTTAAAAACAACAACAAAACGACAATTTTGTATAGTGACGAATAATTCATGCATTCATTCGTCTCTGTTCTCTGTGACACGTCACTAAGTTATGAAAGGTAAAGGCATAGTAAAAAAGGATTAATTTGCATTATCAGCCATGTGTTATTGATATCAGTTTAATTTTAGTGTTTAGGGTAGCATTCAAAAAAAGGCTATATATTTTTTTACTAATAATATTTTACTATACACCTTTCAGTCGGAGATGAACTAGAAAGATCAGAGTGCGTGCCATTCTTGTCGGAATACACGGATTGTTCGGAAGGTATTTGTTACGTATTTTTTATATGTAGTAGAGCCGTGCTACAGCTATATTAATTGTACAGTTGTAGCACGAATGGTTCGGCTCGACCGGGGTAGGAACACGCTCTCACAGAATACCAGCGAAAAATAGTAGCTCAATGCTGCTGTGTTTCGTATGGTGAGTGTTTTTTTTATAGGATCGGGTGACAAACGAGCACACAGTCCACCTGATAGTAAGTGGTTACTGTGACTCATAGACATCTACATCTATCTTCAATAAAGACTCAAGATGCAGATGCGTTGTCACCCGTGAGGACTAAGATGGAATGCCTCTTTGCCAGTAAAAAGGGTCTCCGGTTCTCTACATTCACCATACGAAACACAGCAGCGTTAAGCTGCTATTTTACGTTGGTTTTCTGTGAGAGCGTGGTCCTTCCCCGGTCGAGCCGACCCATTCGTGCTACAACCAAAATATAGCTGCAGCATGGCTCTACCACGTAGAGAGTGTAGAGAACCGGAGACCCCTTTTCCTCTAAAAGAGGCATTCTATCTTAGTCCTCACGGCTGACAACGCATTTTGATTCTTAATCGAGTATAAATGTAGATGTCTATGGGCCACAGAATCCACTTACCATCAGGCGGACTGTGTGCTCGTTTGTCATCCTTACTTATAAAAAAAAACTATAGTACATAATTGCTATTTGCCTAACTATCGGGTATGATGATATATACCCGATTATTCATCACCATCATCATAAATACAGCCCTTCTTAAGTCCACTGCTGAACAAAGGCCTCCCCCAAGGAATTCCACAAAGCACGATACTGAGCCACCTGCATCTATCGTCTTCCTGCATGTCTTACCAGGTCGTCACTCCATCTAGTGAGGAAATGCCCTACACTTTGTCCGCCGGTACAAGGCTGCCACTCGAGAACCTTTTTTCCCCACCGGCTGTCGGTTCTTCGAGCTATATGACCGGCCCACTGCCACTTCAGCTAACTAATCCTTTGGACTATGTCGGTTACTCTGGTTCTACTGCGACATCCTCATTTCTAAGTTTATCACGCAGAGAAACCCTGAGAATAGCCCTCTCCATAGCTCGCTGAGCGACCTTGAGCTTCCTCATATGGCCAGCAGTGAAGGACCACGTTTCAGTTCCGTAGGTCATCACTGGCAACACGCTCTGGTTGTACAGTCTAGTTTTTAAGTTTTGAGGTATACATGACGAGAAGATATGCCGTAATTTCCCGAACGCTGCCCAGCTGAGTTGAATCCGTCGATTGACCTCTCGGTCGAAGTTAAACTTACCTAGTCGGACTATTTGTCCCAGGTAAACATACTCGTCAATAATTTCAAGCTTAGTGTCGCCAACAACTACCGGCATAGGTGTGACATGAACGTTACACATGATCTTTGTTTTGTCCATGTTCATCTTAAGACCTATCCGTTGGGAGACACTATTGAGGTCATTGAGATAGTGCTTAGGTGCTCCAGCAATTCTGCCATAAGGACTATATCATCGGCAAATCGAAGGTGAGTGATGTACTCGCCATCAACGTTAATACCGTATCCTTTCCAGTCCAGTAGCTTGAAAACTGCTTCCAGTGCAGCCGTGAAGAGTTTCGGGGAAATAACGTCACCCTGTCTTACACCTCTCTGTAGTTGGACAGGTTTTGTACTCTGGTTCTGTACTCGGATAGCCATCGTAGCCCTACTGTACAAACACTTCAGCACTTTGATATACTGACAGTTAACTTGGCACCGCTAAGGGGACTATAACACCACCCAAATTTCGACGGAATCAAATGCTTCCTCATAGTCCATATACGCCAGACATAGTGGCAAATTGTACTCCTCGGACTTCTGTACAATTTGCCGAATGGTATGTATGTGGTCTATGGTGCTAAAGTCTTTTCGGAAACCAGCTTGATCGGGAGGCTGGAAGTCGTCAAGTCTGCGTGCGAGACGATTCGTAATGACTCTCGAAAACAGCACGTAGACGCGGCTCAGAAGGAAAATTGGTCTGTAGTTCTCCGACTATTACTCTTCAATAAATACTATATATTCAGCGAAACTATTTTTTAGACCATTGGTACTAGATTGATATGTGGTAGAGTCTCGTATCAAACTAGTACTTATACAAACGTAGAGGCTTAGCTCGACCTGGGAACGACCACGCTCTCACAGAATACCAATGTAAAATAGCAGCATTATGCTGCTGTGTTACTTATGCTGTATTTCTCTACACTCTGTAGAGAGTTGAAGACCCTTTTTAATGGAAACCACGCATTCTATCCTAGTATTCTGGGGTGACA